TCTGATACTTTTAACCTATAAAGCCAGATTGTGTAGCGGAGAGCAATGTGTCAATAAATGTGTCAATAAATTTACAAATTCTATACAAACACATTTTAATGACCACTAAGATTTAGACATTTTCCATAGTGGGCACTGTTTGAGGATGTTTGATCACTAATATCAATCTGATAACAATACCAACTTTGGTATTAATCTGCCTACGTCTATGATGTACCTTAAACTGACGTTTTACTTTGTCCCTGTCATGTTCAAATGTGGCAGCCCTCTCCATAGCTTGATATTTTGCCTCAAGAGCACTCTCTTTCTCTCTGAGGATCTTCTGGTAGGTCTTCTGCAGAGCCTGTAGTGACATTGAAAATAGCAGCATCCCACCGTCACATTAAATCATCCAAAGCCCACAACTTTTTCAGTGAAGTTAGAATAAGCCTTGTGCATTTTGTTCATTATCACCTGCAGCTCTGCTCTCAGCCTCTTGTTCTCCTCATCCAGCTTTGCTTCCTTCTTTTGCATGGATGAGATCTCGTTGTTCTTGCTGACACGGAAGATTTCGTACTCTTTACGGAGTCTTTCATACTCTGCAGCATACTCTAGATCCACAGATGCTGTGGATTTGAAACTGGCCCCAATCACACGAGGTCCTCGGCGGAAAGAGCTGCGCAGTAGTCGGGCTTTGGGCTTCACCTCGACGGGTATCTCACAGGCTTCCCCGCCTTCACCCCCATACCCGTCCTCGATAACCTCCCCTGGGCTCACCATAGAGGATGCGGTGCCCATGGCGGCCAAATAAGTTGGAGAAAAAGAACTGCTCAACTTTTTTCGATGCTCATAGCTGCTCCTGTGTAATAAAAGACGGGGCGGGATGGAGTGTCAATTAAGGAAATCTTTTTTTGATGGTTTGTCACTGGCATTTCTGATCTTTAAGTTGTTTTTTTCCAGGCCGTCTCGTAAAACAACAACAAACAAAAGGCTAAGCTCTTTCCACAAAAGCAACAGGTAGCATTAGAATTATTTGTATTTATTTATTCATGTATTTATTATTAAGAACTGAAAAAATGACAAAGCAACGCGTATGCAGTTACTATCGAAATGGGTTTAAGCATACCCGACTAATAGCAACAAATCCAGATGAACTTAGTTAGCTTCGTTAACATTAAGTTTTGGAGCGGTTCAACACCCTAACTGCGTCATTTATTAATGTAAAAACTAAAGCAACGGCACAATAAAGTGTTTTAGCTGAGAAGAAAACTGCCTACACGCCCAAGTTTGGCAAATGAAGGTTAAACAAATAGCTACACTCACGGTCCGCTCCCCTCACAGCTTCTTCCTGGCTGCCTTGGTAACAAGGAGAAAATACGGGTACCCGCACAAGTCAAAAACAACAGAAGTTTATTCCCCTCAAAGGTATGGGAATTACCCCATCTCTCGGTAATCAAAGAATTGCGTTTCATGATGTAATAAAATCTGCCCCAACACGTAGTGCTTAAAACATTGTTATTTTTATCATCTTCGTCATCTTCTTTGAGCTGCTCCCTTTAGGAGTCGCTACAGTGGATCATCTGCCTCCAGCTCACCCTATAGTTTGCATCCTCCTCTCTCACACTAACCTTCTACAGGTCCTGCTTCTCCACGTCCACGAATCTTCTTTGTGGTCTTCCTCTTTTCCTCTTGCCTGGCACTCCCATATTCACCCCGTACCCAGGAAATACATCATCTATGCCTCCTCTGCGCATTTCACTTTGACTGACCAGGTCAAAGTAGGTCTCACTACCATCTTGTAAACCTTTCTGAAACAAATTACAACATTTTACTTCATGTAATAGGTTTACTTTATAGTCTACATCATCAGGTCTGCTCTTTTAAAAACTGTGTTAAAACTACTCTATCAGTTGGTTCAATGTTCTACTTGTGTCAAATATCAAATAAGGTATTTATATTGTTTATTTTACTATGACGTAATCTACAATCACAAAACCAACTGTTCTGTGTGTTTGTCACCACCAAGTGGTCGATTTGATCTGCTGCAAACTTCTTCAATCTTAGACAAATACTCTGAAGAAAGTTACGAGCAAACTATTTAATATTCAGATGATTCATTTTATTTTCAAAATAAGCGATAATTAGGTGCTAAAGCTTCTAAATGAGGTACACTTTTTGTAAAGTGGACAAAACCCCCAACAACACACAGAGAACCTTCAACTTCCTGACACAAAGAAACCAAACCTGTAAAATAGCGTTTCACCTGGGAGGCCTGAGCAGTTGTGCTGCATATTTTACACTACTGAAGCCATTGTAAACACACCATTTAGATTTCTAAAAATATGCACATTCTTCTTCTTGTTTTGATCCCAACAACATCACAAAAGCTAAAACAGTGGCATGCTTATCACGTTGTTGCATCATCTATTTTAGCAACATTTTGTAGGTGTTAAGGCACTGAAAGCACCACACTATTTATATCCTTAACCCTCTGTCTCATTTTATAATGTACCACGTGGCTCCACTAGGTAACGCATTTAGACTGCAGAAAGGAAACTTTAGCAGTCCACAGTTCTACTGCTGAATAATGCAGTTGCCTAATAACGCTTCTGCATCTGATGTGGATTTAACCTCTTGGCATTCTTACCAGACCCCCCCACACACACACACACACACACACACTATTTCTTAACAATGAAATGTGATTATTAAAGTATGTTTTTTTTGTCATGAAAACCAGGATTCTTTATTCAAACTTTGAACTCTGGAACCAAAATAGACTGCAAGAGGCAACAATTGTTTTTACTTCCGCTGAGGTCACAGACTTTCAGTTACCTTTTGTGAGACAAATAAAGTATCGTAAAGCAGAAGCTTAGATGTTTCACTCCTTTGGGGATAAGATTTCTGAGTAATTCAGAGAATAAAAATTAAAAATAGAATAAAATAAAAACAGAATTTCAAAAAATGTAAATAAATTAAAAAAAATGTCTCAGTCTTCAGTGCCAGAAAGCTAACAGGTCCCAAACTGACAAATTATCTTTGACCTATTATAGTTCCCTAAACAAGTACTGGCTAATTCTGACAATTTCAAAGTCGATGAATCAGGGGAAGTGCAGTTTGTCTGATTTGCAGTTAGGTGCTATAGGAACCACGCTGATGTTTTTAACATGGTTAGCATTACCTCCATTTTTTTCCCGTTTGCATTTTTTATATGACATCTTCCCTATTTTTACAGAACAGCTTAAGAAATGTTTTCCTGTATAGACGGTTCAAAAAGAAATACATGACAGGATCCAGTATACCACTGATACAGGTGAGTGCAGATGTTATCTGATTGGCTTTTCTCAGCCCCTCAGTAATATTTCCAAAGCTCTGCTGTTGAATGTAGATTATTCTGCACACATGGTAGGGCACAAATGCGAACAGGAAGTTCATCACAATAAGTATAATCATTTTTATAGCTTTGTCTTTCACCGGTCGTTCTTCATTTTGCTGCACTGTTCTTAGTTTCAGCAGGATCAGTATGTATGAAACCACTATAGTGACGAGGGGAATTGCAAATGCCACAATAGTGGAAATTAAAGCTGTTGGATTTGTCTTTTCTAAGTACAGTTTGTTACAAATGCCAGATGAGTTGGTTTGTTTTCTTCCAGAAAAGAGTGTAGGACTCATGCAAACAATAACTATCACCCACAGTATGCCAACCGCTACATTTGCATACAAAGGCTTCCTGAATGATTGTGACTTTAAAGGTATAACCACAGCCAGGAGCCTGTCCAGGCTGATGAAACTCATCAAGTAGAGGCTGCAGTACATGTTTAGATAGAACAAGAAGCCTAACAGCTGACAGATGATGTGTCCAAAGGGCCAGTGGTTATCAGATAGGTGGTAAATTATGCGCATGGGTAAGACGAGGACATAAGATATGTCGGCTACAGAGAGGTTTCTCAAGAAGACTCTTGATGGAGATGTGCTTTTCTGGTGAAAGAAGGCCCACAGAGCCAAGATGTTCCCAGGCACTGCGATGATGAAAATCAGGATGTAAAAAATGGAAAGAGAATAATTCCACAGAGCTCCAGAAGTGCCATAGAAGCTCTCTCCCTCCTCCCCGGAAACATTCATAGTTGTTGCGCAGAGGATCGGCCTGGTCCAGCACAAATTAGACACAAACAGCCTGTTACAACGATTGACAGCCACATGATAGCCTTCGTTCACTCACATGATGTTTTAGTGACTTTTTAAATTATCATAATGAAAATAAGAATGCAAATAGAAAAATGTGACATAACGTTATAAAATCATATGCAGAATCATGTGTGTATTACACATTAGAAAGAGGAACTACTCTTGCGGAACGTCAGTGTAACAAGCAAGCAGGATTACATTTTCATTAACATCAACAAAAGAATAATTACATTCAAGAGGTACTTTTTTTGCTAGTATAGCATATAAAAATGCTATATAGTAGAACTAACATATCACTGTGTATGTGTCTGTGTGTACATACGTAAAAGGTAAAATCAACCAGAACATGAAAAAAGTCAACCAATCATAAACTATAACAATCTAATTAAATGTATACTGATAATGATACTGCCTTTAAAACCCAGTTAGCGACTTTGTAACTTCATTTGCCAAAGACACTTTGCTCTGTTGCAGAAAAATTCATTTGCATGTTCACTTAAACAATAAAGTGTACCAAACATGGCTACATGACTAAGTACAAAATTATTAGAGCTTATATGTTAGTGAATTACCTAAATGTTTGATAGTTTAATCCAAATGTAGGGTAACTCCAAACTGACAATAATCATAAATCATCTCCTTACCTGTAACAGTAATGCAGAGCCGTGTTTTGCCACCAGTCGAATAGCAATGATGTGTGCACAGGATACGGGCGAAGAAGAAGTGAGAAGTCGCGTGTTTTGCATATCTAGTTTTGTATTTACACACAACTACCATCTGTGAATCAGCCCAATAGGAAACCACAAAGAACTTGAAAAAGCGACGGAAGCCTGATGCACTACAAGCATGCAAGTCTTTATTACTACTCCAACACACTTTTGTCTTTATTACATAGTTTCTTTATAGCATGATTTAAAGCTTTACAAAAAAAATGAGAGAAAATCAAATATTTACAAAATCTATCTGTGCAAACGTCGTCTTTTACACCACTCTCCTAAAGTAATCAAAAGGCATGCATACAAATAAACTTTGGTATGTTAACAAAACTACTTTTTTTCTTAGTAGAAGCTTTTATGTACACGTGGTAGAACAGGTTTATCACTTTGACTTAAGTACATTTAAACAACAATACATGTTAACTTAACAAACCGAGACCAGCAGTGCAAACACTGAGGTCAACACTTCGGCCATCCACACAGATTGCATGTAAATTCCCCTAAAAGGTCATGACTGAGTTAGGCTTGAAGTGAGTCATTATACAACAACTTTGGCAAATAGGCACAATAAAATGAAAACTTTTATTATTTAGTATACCTGTTGTAAATCTGTAAAATAAACCGGCAGTTCAAATGGGTGGAAACATGAGAAAATACTCTTAAAAAACTAAAGTTACTAATGAGTTTAAAATGTCTGTATACATCGTGTATACATTCAGAAAAAGGCATTTACAAGGGCAGCGTCGAATGTCCGGCAACATAGGAAATATAGAAGATTAAATATACTACGGTTATTCAATCTCTTGTTTCAAAAAAATAGAACACAATTTTTTTTTTACATGATATTTTGTGATTGTACATCAACTCTCTATTCCCTACTCATAGCTACAGCAAGAAAATACATTTTTGAACACCATGAAAGCCTTCCACTTCAGCTACAAAGTGGCAACACTAAATCGTTTATAGTTACATTGCAAAATATTCTGTCATCTGGAACGCCTTCAAGAGAGAATCGATATCCAAGTAAGCATGATCCAAAATGTGAAAATGAAGATAAAAGTAGCAGTGTGTGAATGCCAGTGTCAAAGGAAAAACATGATTTGAGTCCATCACTTAATACTTTTACAAAAAAAAAAAACTTTAATAAAAAGAAAATGAACAACAATCCAAAACCAATATAAAATATGATCAGGTCTACCTGCTATGCTGTAAAAGCCAGAGGGGTGATAATGGGGCTAAGTAGTGTCCTTAGCTGCTGTGGCTGTTGGGATGGAGGATTTGCCGCTGCTGCCGTTGTGGGACCTGTAGCTGGTGAAGCTGGGGGTGTGTATGGTGCGGATGCTCTTTCCACCTGGGCCCAAAGGTGTGGGCGACAGAGGGGAGGGGGAAGAGGATGAGGAGGAGGAGGAGAATGAAGAGGAGGAGGAGTGGACTCGACCATTCTGCGAGGAAAACGAGAGAGCTTTACCTGTGTGCTGTGAGGGTGTGGGAAGTTTGAGGGATCCGTTTGACAGGGAGGGGATATGGGTGGAAGGTAGGGAGCTGGAACGAGGTGGGTGAGAGGACAGAATGGAGGACTTTGTCACAAAGGAGGAAGAGGAAGAAGGGTTAATGGGGTTAGTAGCATCTGAATTCTGTGTGGACTGGGAGCTGCCTTTAGTAGAGCTAGGATAAAAAGCAGGGATTTTAGAGATGGGTATAGTAGGGGAAGTCGTTTTATGATCCCCTCCCACTCTTTTAGCACTTCCGTTAGCCTGTAAACAGAGATGCCAAAACAGATACTTGTTGTCAAAAAAAGAAAACTGGTAAAATAATACAATTAAAAAAGGCAAGACAATGTTAAACAAAACTACAAGTTAATTACATGGACAGACACTATGACTACACAAGCATTAATATAACTAAGACAGAACTAAAAGACACCAAAAAACAAAACAAAAAAACCAATAAAAATACCCAGATACAAAAGCTGTCTTTTTTTTTTACTGGGTTGCACAAAAGGTGAGAAACTGAACTGACAGACATGTTACCAAGAAACAGAACCAGGCAAAGGTTAGACAGTGCAATGGCAGACAGGATGGGTCTCTCTACAGAGTGGCTGTTTGTTAGAGGGATTGTTAGGCCTTGGGAAGAGTGTTGGAGACATTTCAGAGAATAGATACGCGTAAGAGGTCCGGAGAGAATTAGGTAATAGGGTTAGGTGTTTGAAGAGTGATAGCAGATAGGGGAAAATGTGGGCCAGTGTTCCAGTGAAAGTGACGATGCAAGGTGGGTGGGTTATGCCGAAGTCTTGACGGTAAGAGAATGTATCACCTTGGGGTTAAGTAAGCTGTGCAGTGATGTTGGGTTTGAGCAGAGGTGCATTGTGAGAAGGGAGGAGCATAGCCAAAAAATGTTTTTAAAAAGTCAGATAAGTTTGTATCAAACATAGCCATAAGCATCTTAGGGCTTGGCAACACTGTTTAGGAACTCAGCTGTGATGGGAATTGGAGATGTGATGACAACTCAGATGATGACAGGATAGGATTCCGTTTGTCTCCGCCTTTTTTCCTTCTTTTTTTTTTTTAGCCACCAACACAGTGAAAACCATGAGCAGTGTGGACATGCAGAAGCATACAGTACAGTGATGTTATGGGGATAACAGTCAAGAGTCAAACATGCCTTCGTGTCAGAGCAGACTCGAGAGAAACGTGAACAGATCCACAGTCGCCACTATCGTGACTTTTTTTTTTTTCCACAACACTTGAAACCTCACAGCTTTGGAAGTCTTCCCACCCCCACCCTCCCTCATATGCCACATGCTTTCGATTCCCTATATTTGTTCCCTGTAGTCTCTGTTAAGACCCTACAGTAAAACTACCTGTCGGAACTGCCTCTGAGCGTCCTGCAGTTTTTGCTGTTTTCCTGCTTTGTCAGTTGTACCCGGTGACTGCCTGGACTTCGCAGACAAAGGGACGGGCATCCGACTAGTAGGGGAAGCAACACTGGTATTCTGCAGGGGATCCAAATGAAAAACAAAACAGAAAATAAAAAAAAAGATAGAAAAAACACACCAAATAGGAAGTATGAAAAGTCGAGGCACTAACAGGTTTAAAACCCCCCCAAAAAAATCCCCGTTCATTCAATACGTCAACAATCAACGCCAGTGAAAGATCATGCACCCAGTGGGACCACAAAGCCATTAAACACAAGGCATGCAGTCAAGAACAAGGATAATTAGAGCTTGATCATCATGACAGTGTCTCTGATGATGAGTGTGCCACTTGCTGAAAACCTCTTGAGTTTTAGCAATAAACTGAAGAAGAAAGATGGTAGCCAGGAACCAAACAAAATGCCACACCCAATCATGTCACCATGATTTTGTACTGAAGAGGGGAGTCATTTCCATTTCCAAGCACCTGTGGGGGGAGGGGATTAATGATTTTGTAATTTCAGTGGTTAAGGTGGGAGTGGAGGTAAGTTAGAAAACTGAAAGAGAAGAAACCCAAAGCCTCCGGGAACAACAAGAGCTAAAGAGAGACCTGTTGTACGGTGCTGGGGACACTGGGGACAGTGTTGGTGTTGGTGGTGGTAGAAGGGTTGATTACAGGGCGTGGAAGGAGCTGAGGTTTAGGCTTCTTCTGCAGTGAATTTTTGCTAGGTACCTTAGGGCCAGACCCTTTGGAGGTAGGCAGAGAGGACGACCTCTTCAGCCCTACTCCGACTGAGCTTTTCCCATTCCCTGTATTTGCTTCCTCGGTGTTAACCGACTCATCAGGGGAGCGTGGTCCCATCTCACTAATCGTGGTCTCTAGCTGCTTGATGGTCTGCTCCAGGCTGTCTAGCGTCTTGTAGGTGTTCTTCCGAATCTCATCCGTCCTACCGAGAGCTTCGGAGTTCTGCTTTTTCAGCGGGGCAGTGTCTGTTCCCCTGGGAGCATCTGCAAAGGATTTTGAGCGCGTAATCTCATATCTCTTCGCTTCTTTGTGCTGCCTGATTGTACCATCGGATTCTTCTTCATCTTCATACACAACCACCTGTAGCGTCTTCTTGCCTGACTTGGTGCCTGTGCGAATGGCCTGAGTCAGTGCTGCCAGCTGTTTCTTAGGGAACTTGAACTTGAATTTCTTCTTCCCATCCTTGGAGTCTCCATTTGAATCTAAGTTTACCCCGTTGTCTGTTAGTTCAGATATCGAAGAAGAGGATGAAGATGATAGGCTGGCATGATCTGTAGCTCCCTGTGAGCTGCTGATTTTTTTGCCACCAACCATCTCAGCCCCTTCTGCGATGACCGGCAGCCCACTACTTCTCTCTGTATCGGATTCCTCACTCTCCTCCTCAATGCGCTCTTCTGCAAGCATCCTCTCCAGCTCCTCCTCGCATTCAAAGATGGTAGAAAGGCGCTTGTAAGCTGAACGGATATCCATCGGCTCATCAAAGATGATGATGACAGGCTTCTTGTTGAAGCCGTTATCCTGCGGCACTGAAGGATCAGCTGTGGTGTTTCCTCGATTCACTGCATTGCCTACAGTAACAGTCTGCACACTTCCTTTTTTGGCATTGACCAGTTCTTGGTACTCTCCACACGACAGTGGCTGAACCTTGGTGTTGGTGATCATAAATGCAATGTTGTCTGGGGGTGGAGGTGCCTCTTCTCCAGGCAAGTCAGGACTGAGACTAGCACCCCCATCAAGATCATCAATAGTGTTTTTAGGTGGACTGCTGTTCTCGTCAGAAGTCTTTTTGGATGGAGCACCATACCGTTTAGGTGCTGCTTTAACAGCACCTGTTTTTGTGGTCGCCACTGGGTCAGTTACTATATTCTTACTAGACGAAACAGGCTCCTGGACGAGCTTACTTTTCTTTTCTGTATGAACTTTAAGGATTTTTCCCTTCTGCATTTCTGCACTTGTCTTCATGGATTCAGAGCGTTTAACATGCTTCTTTGGCAGTTTAAACGCATTAAGTCCCACAGGTTTAGGTGATATAGGTGGGGGTGATTTGGGTGTTGGAGACAGTGGTGGCCGCTGCTGTTGTTGCTGCTGCTGGCTTGGAGAAATGTCATTAACATTGACATTTGACACCTGTGTCGGAGACTGTGGGGGCTCTCTGTGATGGTCGTTGGTGTCTTCCAGTCGCGATGGGGGTGGATGATCTTTGGGAATCTGGCCCGTCACATAATATATGACCTGTGATTGTGAAATTTAAAAATGTGTCAATGTTTCATAGCTTTCTAACGCTAGAGTATAAGTTAAACATATGTGATTATAGTATATGTAGTTAAAAGTCATACATACCCCTTGGCTCTGTCGAACAGTTGTATTCCCATTTTCATCTGTGTCTGGATCTTTATCCTCTCGACTGGGCTCTGAGCTCTGCTAGGACAGTGTGTGGGGGAATAATATTACAGTGTAACTGGCGTGCCAGGCTGTGCTGGATTAACTGTGAAATCACATTTGGTTGCAGAACGATCTGCGGCGTCAAAACTACAAGATTGGTCAATTACCTTTCACAACTGCTTTTTTATACTGTTACAGTATTAAATCCTACATAAAAATGCACATAATACAGAGCTTTGAAAGGCCAAAATAAAATATAATTCATGTTGATGGATGTATAAATATATAAATCACATAATATAAATATAAAACTGAATTAAATATTTTTTCAGTTTTTTATTTCACATATCGAGTTTTACATCATTATACTATATTTAAAAGCCAGCTGTAGACTCAGCATCTAAAAAGTGGAAAATGTGGAAGTGCCTTAAACCTGCATTCTTTCTAATGACCAGCAGGGGGAGACTGCTAAATTGTGACTGTTCGACTGTTCAATAAAAGTCTGTGACATATTTATCTTATTTTTTAGTTAATTTATGACCTCATTAAACACATTAATGATGAGCTTAGTCTCATTTGGAACTTTTGAGTCTTTAATGGTGCATGCAGCTTATTTTGTAAATTGTTATATGTTTTAGGGTATGGTTAACCTTTAACCAACTTATCAACCTTTAATTGATAAGATGCTTTTTTGGGGGGGGGGGGACGGCATCACAGAGCCTATGTACATCTTTAAATACAGTTTATGTTCCTAACTTGTTTCTCTTTTTTTCAGTGAAATAATTAAAATTTTTAAAATTTCAGCAAAACAGTAAACTTTAATGTAATGTACTATTTACTGTGATTGTAAGCTTAACCAAATAGCATACCTCCTATTTGTTTCTCTCAGAGAGCAGATACTTCCAGTTCATCTTTTCAAATCTAGTAAAAGTTGATGCACTTCGCACACCTAGTCCTATTTGCTTTATCGTTTCGACTAAAAAAAGTAATACTCAACATGTATCAAATGATTGGTTAGGGAGGTGTAAAGCTGGGAAAAGCGAACTGAGGTGAAGTTGTGCAAAGAGAAACGGAAAAGTCATTCCTCAGAAAAGTATAGGAGAGGAGAAGGAGCATGCAAAGTGGTCAGGCTGACCTCTAGTGAACCAAGTCTGCAAAAATAGATTGTGTCTACAGTGCATTTTACTGATGTTCTTTCAATTGTCAAAAATCTAGGGCATATCAAGCAATTGTCAAATGTCATTAAAGAAAGACACGAGACGATTTAATAGCCTGTAAGGTACAGTGCTGAGGTTTTTATTGATTTGGATGAAAAGACAAGTGAGAGTTCTGAAACACATCATAGTCTAGACCAGGCATACAGAAGACACAGCATCTTTTCAGAAGCTCAATTTTATGCAGACTTAATCCTGAAAAAAAAAAATTAAAGCTCTGATATCCAGCAGGATCAAAAGAGGGAGGAAAACTCAGGCAGCAAGGAAAGGAAGCTTTGTGGAGGCAGCTGCTACAGGTTTCTCTCGAGCAAAAGCAAGAGCAGAGGAGTGTTAAGACACAGCCATTGATTGTTTCATACAGTTGGCAAAGGCAGGCAGTTAGCTGGGCAGCTGCACCGGGACATATATTTTACCTTTTTCTCTTTGAGGGGTAATAAAGCCCCCGGTCTTAGCTCTCTGATTTGTGGTTCAATTCGAGCGGTGGGCTCTACCAAATTTTTCACCCCTACATCCTTAACTGTGCACTTCTGGAAAACCTGAAGAGTGGAGAAAGGTGAGGGGAACAACGGGACAAGGGTTTTGAGGAGCATCTTCATAACTGCACAGCTGTAAAACGCCACAAGTGCAGTAAAGTTCAATGAAAGTCATTTCTTTGGCAGCTGTCAGCATCCTTTGCCACTTCCAAGGAAGTCACCCACCACAGGAAAAAATGATAAGCAACCCACTCCCACAACGCAGAAATCAATCAAATCCAGCATCCTAATTTCCATATGTCGGTTAAATTGATTGTATTTGCACATGTTTGAAAGGAGCGTGTGAGTGTGCGTGTTGTATATGGATCTAACCTGGAGCTCTGCCATGATCTTGTCCCCTTCATCTTCCTCTTCTCTCGTAACCAGGGGGGGAGTGGCTGGCTTCGGCTTGGTCTCCGGTGCAACCTTGGTGGGCTTGGGTTGGGGAGAGGGAGGTGGGGCCTCTTCTTCGCCCTCCTGTGAGAAATAATGTGAAGGAAATTATTCTTGTATTTTTAACAAGCAGCAAAGTTTGTGGAAATGAAAATGGATACTGCATTCATGTTGGATGAGCGTAAAGACAGAGTTAAACAGTATCTCTCCTGAAAATGGCAACCTTTACACTTTGGAGAAAGCCTAAATAGCTCTTTCCCCTTTTCTTCCAGTTTTAATGCAGTGGCTTAACTAAATCCCACTTGGCTCTACGCTTAGCGCACAGACACAAGAATGGTTTTCTTTACTCTCTCCAACCTTTTAAAGCACCAACCTGAGTCGAGACAGACTCCTTCCTGTTGGTGTAGACGACCTCACCAGAGCGTGTAGTGGTCATGCCTGAGCTGGAGCTGGGGTAGGTTTTCCTTGGCGGAGGCGGTGGTGGGGACTTGTTTGGCTTTTCAGACCCCTGTTTTGTCAAACTTTCAGTGGCTGCTGGCTTGATGGCAGTTTTGGAGAGTTTCTCTAGTGCTGGCTTGGCAGATTTCTCCACCAGAGGCTTAGGGAGTTTCTCGGACCCCTTCTTTGCTGGTTTGTCTGATTGAGGGCCTGACTGGGGCTCTTCTGTCATACAGGGCAAAAGGAAACAACATTAAGGTGTGTAGATAAAGCAAAAAAAAGTTGTTTAAGTTACATTTGTGTGTGATTTCTACCTGATGGTAGCTCAACAGGGTTGTGAATGTCTTCTTCTACAATACCAGCAGCAGGCAGTGCTGTGTTCTCTTCCACCTCTAGACTTGGAATTCCCTTCATCATGTTTGCCTGAGCCTCTTGTAGGATCTTCTCAAACTCTTTTCCATCATAATGACCCATATTCTGCCTCCTCTCTTCCCACTCTTTCTCTGCTGCCTGGACAGAGCAGACAAAACAAACATACCAAAGAGTTTACGGTTGTCAGAAGTGCAAACTAAATGAGGGACTATTATTTCTAAACAAAAACAATACATTAAATACATTAGAGATTTTCAGGACACTCATAAAATAAACTGAGTATTAGCACGGCTAATTTCAGCATATACACGTAAATGAAAATTACAAGGTGGGTAAACATACCTTTATGGAAACAGCTCTGCTTTTGTTCTTTTCCTTACTGCTCTGAAGCTCTTCTATCACAAGATCCTGGCTGGCTGTTCCATTACTGTTCCCATGAGTCTTTTTGTAGCGGGTGGGACTCGGTGGATCTGTGTCAACCGCTTTGGGAGCCTCACAGTCTTGACTCTTGCTAAGGTTGGGACTGGAGATATGAGTGGGGCTAGGTGTGGCTGGGGGACTAGGTTGAGATGTCAAAGCCGCAGATTGCTGGGACTGCTGAATGTGGACCGGGGAGCTCTGGACATGATGGATGACCACCGGGGATGAAGGCATCACCTCGGATTTGATGGTGGAGCTCTGAGGCTCTAGCGGGGCTGAGGTTGAGTCAGGTTGGCCTGGTGCTGGAGAAACATCTGCAGGGGTGTCTACTGCTACTGCGGGGCTGTTGTCCACTGTGGCATTACTGGAAAGCTCAGGCCCTTTCTGAGAAAACTCAGTAGCACACCTGCAGAGGGAAGGGAAACAATAAGAAATACACATCATACAGAAACACTGGCGAAAGAAATGTTTGCGCAACAACGCTCAGAAATTTGTATTCGCAAGTTATGGTCTTTTAAAACTGTTATTAGGACTATACTACATCAAACCTTGCTGTAAAGTAGACAAATAATACTACATATTTAATGACATGAGGGATAAACCATCACAAAATCTATAATGCAACAGGTGGGTTTGGCAACAGGGCATATTTTTGGTTAAAAAAAAAACAGAGGGAGAGCAGGAGAAAAGTCAAGAGCCAGTTTGGCATCTGTATTAAAATGGAAATTAGGTGCTGCATTGCCCACCAAATTAATTCACTTATCGGTTGAGTGAAGGTGATGGAAGTAAATCTGGACGCCAAAGCCTTCTGTCCGCACAGAATGACCTCTTTGATGGGATGAAGGCTGGCTTGCCACTATAATCAAACGGTACAATCTCCCACATCATAGACCCCATCGAGGAGCCCCGCAAAGTGCTTTTTGTTTTCATCTTCAATTCCCCCTCTCGCACTCAGCTCCCATACTCTAACACATCTTCTCATTTTTCCCTGCTTTATCTTTTCATTCTCCATTTCCCCCCTACCTTCTCAGGCTGCTGAGTGTGTCGGTCAAGCTCTTCACCCTTTTCAGCATACTGTCCAATTTGTGGGGCTCTTCTTTCAAAAACTTGACAGCTTCTACTTCCACCCTGAGCACAGCCCGCATTCTGGCTTGAAGGGCTGGGAACTCTCCTGATGAAATTTAAACAGAGAGGAAAAAAATTGTAAAATACTCCTATTTTAGAATATTTCTGCTCATAATCCTTTTCTCTTTAATTGAGAAATGTTAATTACAATGTGATTTTTTGTGAAAAATTGCTTGTATTTGGCATGGATTTTTCGTGCGCAAAGCTGAATGATAATGCAAGTATACTGGAGTAAGGAACATTAATGTGATGGGAAGGCAGTCACCATACCTTTAAGCCCTGCCAGAGATTCTCCCACCTTCCTCAGGGTTACGGCTCCCTCTTCCACATCTTTTAGGGTCACTGCTCTGTGTGTTGTGGCTGAGTCATTCTGCAGAGAACCTACATACTGTTCCAGCTCGCTGCAGAAAAAAAGGGAAAGTAATTTACAGTTGAGTGACTTTTAAAAAAAAACTGCCTGACAAATTCACTCACTGGCCACTTTGATAGGTACACCTGTTCGTATCTGCAAATATCTAATCAGCCAATCGCGTTGCAGCATGTAGACATGGTCAAGATGACCTGCTGCAGTTCAAATTGAGCACCAGGGCGGGGAAGAAAGGTGATATAAATGAATCTGAATGTGGCGTGGTTGTTAGTACCAAACGGGCTGGGTTGAATATTTCAGAAACTGTTGATCTACTGAGATTTTCCCACACAGCTATCTCTACGGGTGACAGAAAATAGTCTGAAAATGAGAAAATATCCAGTAAGTGGCAGTTCTCTGGGCGAAAATGCCTGAAGATGCCAGAAATCAAAGGAGAATGGCCAATCTGCTTTGAACTGATAGGAAGGCAACAATAACTCAAATAACCACTCACTGCGACCAAGGTATACACAACAGTATCTCAGGAAGCCTCCTGTCAGCTAAGAACCGCAGAATTATGCTACAATTGGCACAGCCTCACCAAAATTAAGAGAATAGAAGACTAAAACAAAAAAACAAAACAAAAAAAACAATCCCTGGTCTGATAAGTCTCAGTTTCTGCTTAGACATTCAGATATTAGAATTAGAACTGGGCATAAACAACATGGATCTATTCTGCTTTGTATCAGTGGTTCACGTGGTTTAATGGCATAGAATAGTATAAGCACCTTACTACAAATTGAGCACTGCTTAAACGCCACAGGCTACCTGACTATTGTTACTGACCATGTCTATCCCTTTATGACCACAGTGTACCCATCATGTGATGACTGCTTCCAGCAGGATAACACACCATGTCACAAAGCTCAAATCATCTCCAGCTGGGTTCTTACACGACAATGAGTTTTCTGTACTCAGTCTCTAGACCTCAATGCATTAGAGCACCTGTGAGATGTGGTGAAATGGGAGATTCTCAGAAACTGTGTGATGCTATCATGCCATTATGGCCCAAAATTGGCATCTAATGAGTGTATACTTGAAAAACAAAACAAACAAGCCAAAAAACCCTGCATAAACAGGCTCTTATTATGATTGTTTGCGCTGTATTAACACCAGGGGGCAGGATACAATCATGTTTCTTAAAGATCATAAGCCAAAACTGGGGAAAGGTAGGAAAAGTCTCTGGAATTGATGCATGAAAAGCAATAGTGCATATGATATGTAAAATTCATATTTTAAGCTGCGAATAAACATCTTAACTGTGCAGTCCTCTTTCCTGTCTACACTATATTGCTTAATCTAGACTGGATCTGGTCTTATCCCAAACCCCCAAATATTTACACACTGAATGAGGGCTTATTTGTGAGAAAGCACTTCCTCGCATAGAAATCATATCACCCTGCCTGAGAGCCATCCCGGTGCTAGAGAAAGCTGGCTGTTCCAAAGGGAAATGTGCTGTATGATAACATTGTCTGCAGTGTTGGATTGCATGAGAGGGAACTAAAATCACATTTCATTGTGGCCAGGTACCCTTGAGAAACACTCTTTTATAGGAGTCCCCTGAAGGGATTAGGAAAGGCAACAAGGAGACAGTGTGTTAAATGCCCTTCTATGCAAAGGCTTTTTGGTAGTGAGAATGATGGAGTTTTCCTTTTTTATGAAGCCTCCACCAGAACAAAAATACTGTTTGTTCAATAATGTATCCCTCTGTTTGCCAGGGTATAGGAGGCAGCCTTTAAAGACCACTTGCATTGCATTTGCATGAGGAATTTGGCACTTTTCTTACTTCCTTTCATAATTCTTTCTCGTGAACTGAAACGGGCAGTATGGGACACCAAGAATTCCACTTAAGGCGAAAATAGCTTCAAATACTGCAGTTGTTCAGCTTTCATCCACTGAAAATGACCACTGTCAGATTTAATACGTTTTTTTTCTTTTTCTGTGTGACTTCATTAAGGTTTTCCTGTGTTTTTATGGTATGACTTTCCATATTTTAAGGGGTGAGTTTTAAAAAAAGGTTACAAAATATGGTCTGATAGATTGAATTCTCTCAAGAGGGCAGCAGTTTTGACACCACGCACTCCAAATGGTTCTAAAGCCAAGCAGCTCTAATTGCCATGCCTTATTTAAGGGGCCAGGAGCTGTGTTTTGCTGACTCACAAATGGCTGCATACAAAGTGTAACAAAGGGCTTAACACAGCTTCAGTGCCCCCGACTTCCTCCTGTTCATTTCCCAGAATCCAAGAACTGCTATGATTGTGTTTATTGGAGCATATGTTCGCCGCTGTCTAGCAAGACAACACTGTTTGACCTTGTCTGTAAACATCCAAATAAAAAGGATTCAATTACTGCTCCCTGTTGGCAAGACGAGGCGAATGAATTCAAATAAGAGCAGGGCGGTGAGTAATTACTCCACAGTTGAGTCCATTGTTTTAGACCGCTGTCTCTGAGAGGCAGGCGTAGCTTGCCTGCATAAACTTGTGGGCTGTAATTTAGAGGGTGTTGGCTTGTCAAAGCGTTTAGGATTGAATGGCTCAGGTGAGCTGATAACAGTGAAGCCTTTTGGGGGCTTCCTATAAACAAAGGCACAGCAAATGTAGTTGCAGATATGTGCACTACATCAACTGTCAGACTTTTGAAAAACTTTGTTGAATGCAAACAAACGTGTCTATCCATTTTAGACACAATTTAAACAAAACAGCATCTGTTGTGTTGGGTAATGAGCGAGTCCTGAGCAGTCTTACCTGAGCTGTGTGAGGACACGCTCCTCCAGACCCAAGTACTTGTGCCTGTCCTCTTCTACCACAGCTCTCTGTCGCTGAACAGGGTCCTCCATACGCCGCATTGCTTCTGCAAGTTTAATACTGATTTCCTGCTCTGCCCGCTTCAGCTGCACCCGTAATGCCTCCTGATTCTGGAGCTGAAGTGATGTACATAGCAAAGTGAAAGTTATTAGAGGACCTGGACTAGTAAACCGAGATATATGGCTTTTTGGGTATCCCACTTAATCACATGCATATACACAGCTGGAAATGTGAACAAACGAAACAGTTTAATTTAATTAAAATGGAGACAAAGTCTTACCTGCAGCTGCCTCATCTGATGCAGTTGCATCCTGAGGTCAGAAACATTCTTCCTGAACTGCAGGAGGTTTACTTTGAGTGGAACTGAGCCCTTGTCTGGTGGGCTTGCACTGTTCTTGGGAGACAAGACCGGAGAACCACCTGGACCAAGAGAAGAAGAAAAAACCCCACACAGCACAGCTTAAGTTTGTTTTCTGAAAATTACGACCCATATGTACATACTAAAACCTTTGAAATCAAAGCTCATAATAACTCTTATGAACTGTAAAAATTCTAGTAAACATTATTAGGGAGGCTTTAAAGTGTAGATTTTTTTTTTCCTTTTTCAAGCACTCACTCTGCTTATTAGCAGGCAGATTGTAAATGCCCGTAAACACACTTTTTCTGACCTAATGTCCCAAATGTTCAGCAAAGGTTTCTTCTCATTTTTGTGGCATCATTTCTACTTCATATGTACTATAGATATGTTAACACTCTTATTAGTTGCAGCTGGAAATGGCTGTCAACTAATTATTTCAGTCACTGCTAAAGATGAAGAACAGGCTGAAACCATGGAAACCAAAGTAACTTACATCCATGGTGGAAGTCCCTAAATAGAAAGTAAGAGCAATATTTCAAACTGCACCATGAGATTGAAATGTAATGACCCTATAGAACTACACGTTCAGTCACAACAGACGACACTGGTTTTGTCAAACACAGCATGTAAAGGAGGAGCTTGAGTGGGTTGCAAAGCAGCTTGCAATGAGCACCAACTGTAGGTGGGCTAAAGCAATTTTAATACTGCACCCCACTTGATCAGGTTACTTGGTCTTTAAGTTTTGTTTGCTAGGTTATATAGTTAGGGTGTTTGTTTTAGTATTTATGTTCTCCTGGTTCTTATCTAGGGGCTTTGTTGTTTAGTTGTTAACACATTTGCCTTACAAAAGTCTTAAAAGATCGAGCCTGGGAGGAAACACAAATCCAGCCTCGGGGTTTCACAGGCTAGTACCGATAACAAGCCTGGATAAATGGGAGGGCATATTCATTTGCTGTGGTGACCCCTTGGGAAATAAACAGCTGAAATTACCGCATCTTCTAGCTCTTATCTATACACAGATGTGCTTCCATTTTTTTTCTTTTAACATATATGAACGCCATCAGGGACTGCAGTTACAGGATCCAAGTGCTCATCTTAATTATTGTGCATTGTCCTTTTTAAATAAACCTGAAACTAGTCATAAGAATATCAGCAGAGGTGTCAGCTGATGTGGGATGACAGTGAGGTCAGCTGAGCTTGACTTTGTGTCCTGTGTAGCTAAATTAACACTGCATGCACTGAGTTTTACAGTAACATATCTTTTCAAAAATGTGTGTCAATTAACCTGGAATCTTAGTTCACTATATAAATAGTTGAAGTTGGGCCAATTTTCTGGTAGAGAGCAGTTTCAAGGTCTGTGTGTTATCCACAGTAACTTGGAAATTCTTTCTGAAAGGACGCATTTGTGCTGTATTTTTATCAGAATTATGAAATGAATGTCTGTCACTGTATATTTGAGGCAAATGTCAAAACCATCTGCAAGAATGGATACCACAAGAGGCAAGTACAAATTTTTTCGTGTAATTAAGAGCAGCCAATCCTTTAAACACAAAAAAATACAAAGAAAGTAGTGTCCATCCATTTTAGTTAAGAGAAACTTACCAGTGCTCCCTAAATTCTTTTTGACATATACCATGACGCAGTGAAAGAACACACTTTTGTCTTTGTAATCCCCCAAATCTATTTACAGCGTGAACAGACCTGAACTACTGGTTACAATGTATATTTTGAAAGAAGGACACGCTGGGTGGTGACAATCAAGAAGCATGTGAGGGATTAAATGAATATCCTCACGTTTTTTCATGTTAGAGGCTGTCTGGCGAGATCAAAGAAGACCCTGTAACTTTTCTGATGTTTTGAAGATTTGCTCAAACACAGCATGACAAGTAAATCCCTCTGGAAACTACATACTCCATGAAATGTTTCTTGAGACACGAGCTTAGCTTTCAAGACACATAAATAGCGTTGTGTTTGTGCTTCGCCACTGGTGAGGTTGCAGATCTTTTTATCAAGCTAAGGTCTGGCCGCAGAACGCTGCGGTGCGGAGATTGAATCGCTGAATCATCTTGGCAGGCTTGAGAAGTAATAGCATCTTGTTTTAAGTAGTGCTTTGAGGGGCTTGTGTTAGCTGCGCTGGCTCTCGTCTCTTAACTCCTATTAAACTGGATGAACTGGGTAAAGGAGTGCAAGGAAATATGAACTGATGACAAGCAAAGAAGCCTGACTTTGTTTTTCCTCCCTCCAGTGCTGTTCATTGCAGACTGCTGACTGACACTGATGTGTGGGCTTGTCTGCACATGATATTATGGCATTTATATCAACTAAAAAGAAAAAAACTCCAGAAATCCCACATAATAGAAGAGATACTAACCTGAACTATGAGCACTGTGGGCTGGAGATGATGTCTTCGGGGGTCTCTCGCTGCAGTCAGAGAGAAATTTATCTTACAAGAGTTTGTGTAACAGAAATAAACAGCACTTTGCAGCACTTTAGATTTACAGCTCGATATTAGTAAGGACAAACAAGTTAAAATAAAGAATGATGGAGCAGACTGACAAACCAGAAAGGTTAAAATGATGTTAATGATGTTAACAAGCTTCATCATCAGTGCATACAGTAGCTACATTCAAATTCACAGCATACATTTTAGACTAGGCGTCAAGCAAACATTTCCAAAAAATATAAATAAAGAAGAGAAAGAGCTGAAAAGCAGCCAGATGAACAATAGTGGCCATTTATCTAGAGGGCAAAAGGCTTCGATAACAGATTCACATTCAAACCGATTTCCTTTTTAGCAGACACTATTTTACCTGAGTGTCTGATATGGCCATTATTGAAGGGATAATTTATCCTTCCTCCTCTGACTGAATCACCAGGCTTTTCTTTTGAAAAGTCCATTTCACCCGATGCCTCCACTCTGGCCTATACTGTGATTGCTTACCTTAGAGGCTCCTTGGTGCCACTAGTGTTTGGGCCCTTTAAAAGTGCATGCTGAACAAGACCAGTCAAGCTGGCAATCTGTTGTTCCATAGCCTTCATTCGTTCTCTGCAGACACATCAAAAAATTCTGCTTTCAACACCGAGGCCTATTGGATATGACAGCTGCCACTGGAGCAAATATTAGCTCAGAATGAAAACGGGAGGGTTGTAAACAGAATAATCAATCGCTTTTAATCACCTAACCATGAAACGTTTTGCCATTTTGTGAGATGATTACACAGCAGAGATTTTTCTTTTGTTTTGGAATTGATTTGCAATATGCCACAAGTAAATGTTGTCTCTGGTAAATATGAATCGTTTCTGAATTACAAATAAAACAAAAATGTAAAAACCCCAAAAGCTCGTGTCCAAATAGAATAAACAAGACGGACAATTTCTTGACAAGCCTAAGCTTGACACCCAAGGTGCTCGGGTCATATTGTTTTTTTGACTGAGTCACATGTAGTGACTGCCAAAAAGAGAGTGAAAGGATTATTTGAACTGTATGACACTGCCTTAAGAAAGCCTACACTGTAGGCAGGTGAGGGAACTGGCAACAGAACTACTTTTGCTTTATAAGGCACATAAGATGTGCCTTATTTAGTGTGCTTTCATCTTGTTTTGTCATTTATTTATGTTGCCTTGCTATTTATATTTCCTGCAGAGTCTGTTTGGAGCACCCACGATTTCATTGCACATGTACAGTGACAATAAAGGGCTATTCTGTTCTATTCATAATTTATCTTGAGGCACGGGGCACGTTAAGGACACAGTGCAGACACAAAGTCTATGTGAATACAACAATGACCACAATATTTTACACGAGTATATTCTATGACACCTACAGATTATTTTGAAAGTGAAGCATGGTACTTTCCCAATCAAATTCCTTCACTCTTTCAGATATTCCCAGGGCATTTCTAATGGAGGTTTTGGGCTTCCCAGGTGGTCTGGCCTGATCTGCATGACTGGCCATTTCAAATACTTTTTCAACCTGGCCAGTATTTGCTTTGGGTTTCCAAGTTACACACAGAGCCCATGTACCCTCCTTTCTAGTTAAGCATTGCTAAGAGGCCAGCATCCCTCTTGCACCCTTTCTGTGTTTATGTGCTCTCGGTCTGAGAAGACAAACCAAACCCAGGTACTAAAATATCTGTTAGATTAACTGAAATTGAATAGAGTCTGTAAGGGGTGTTCTTGTTTAAATATACACTGATTAATAGAGCCTTTAGATACTATCCTGTTTCACTAGTGGTAGCTATGCCTGGGCTTACACGCTCATCAACAATATTAGCTCCAGAATTCGAGTTAGCAAGATAAGCAAGAGCTGGCTATATACACAAACCAAACTCATCAAAATGTGCTTAATGCGCAGATCTTTATGCTGAAGACAGTGAGAGGGCAGGTTATATTTATTCTTCACGCATGGATGATGAAACAGAGTCAGACCAGGTACTGGAAAGCAGCAGTTCATGGTTAGGGTGACACTGGGATGCAGAGTTAGTCCATGCTCCCATGCAATGTCTCGGTAGTTATTTTAACAACCCCCCCCCCCACCACTATATGCAACACTGTGTCCTCTGCTAGCTTACCGTGTCTGATGGTCACTGGCAGCTGGGATTGGCCCCTGGAGGTCTGGAACCACAGGTGAGCCCATGCTGTTCCGTGGCTTTGTCCCCGTTACTTCTTCCTTCCTGAAGGACTGGCGCACTGGCGAGCTTCTCTCCATGGTAACACTATGAGATGGCATGCCATGAGGAGGTCCACCATGGATGTCAATCATTCGTACCTCAGTCATCCGATGAGGGGATGGCGGAGGTGTCTTAGAACCCAAAGTCGGCAGCTGGCTGTTTCTGGACTTCTGCCTGTACAGAGAGGGGTGATCTATAGTGTCTGTAGGGCTAGGTCCACCATAAGAACTCGTGGAGCGGATGGATGCACGGTGAAATCCCCCCATGGCATGCTCTGGACCATCAAGCCCAGGGCTGGGGTGTGGTCCATGTGCTGCAGCAATGCCCATTCGTCCCTCTTGGAGGAGGTATGGATCTGCGTACAAGCCCTCATTCCCTCTAGAAAGAGTGTGGCTCTTTCCAGCCATATCCTCATCTGGCTTGACATCTCGTCTCTCTAGGATGGCGCTGGGACAAGGAGAGTTAGAGCGGGCCGGTGGGTTGGCATTGGAGATTCTATCCCTTGGGATGGTGGCGCTCCCAGGTAAAGAGCCCTGCCGTGGGCCAAATGGGATTCTGGAGGGGGATGGAGGCATAGAGTGGGGCGTTGGGGGGAGTGCTGCTTGCATTGGGTGGTGGGACGGGGGAACCATGGGAGGATGCCTTAGAGGGGGCTGGCCATCACGGCCGGCAAGTGCCATTTCACTGTGCATCTAGAAAAAAGAAAAAAAAAATCATAAAAACACACAAAAAACGATTTAATATATATAAGTACACAAAAAGTTCCTTCTTTTAGTAGAAAATCTTAAATTAAAGATGCATATTTCTGTCAACTTCAGTTACTTCTTACTTTGTGTAGGTCTTGTAACTTTAGACTGGAGCTGCCCTTAAAACAAAAACATCTATCTATCTTACACTGTTGCTTTTCAAAGAATATATACTGTCAGCAAATTTTCCCAGAAGTAGAAAATAGTTCCTGGACACACAGCATATCACTCTAAGCCCTTGATATCGTGCCCACAGGCTTCCATATAAAACAATATTGCATGAAGAAGTAAAGACTATTCTCCCTGTTAAAAAAAACTGCACAGTTTCTGCTTTTTGAAAGAAGGTGAGGTTAAGTGTTGCAAATGCGCTCCAGGAGATAAGACTATGGCTTTCTACCAGAGGTTCATGGAAGCCTTCGGGGTTAGACAGTACCTTGGCTAATTTGCAACAGTATCTGTCTGTCTGAATAGCAAATACATCCCACAGTTCTTTAGCTCAACCACCTTAAAGCTCTTTGAAAGCTAACGTGCAAAAACCTAACCTCAATTAATTGGAACACTTTTCTTGGTTAAGGGATATAGAAGAATAGTCAGTGCAAAAGTCTTAAAGGTACGCAGTGTTCAGTCTTTACATTGCTTCCTCTACTTTTATTTTGACACCTTGCATAAAGCAAGACTGTGTTTTGCTTAACGAATAAAAAAGAATTAAATTATTTCCTCTGCAAACAAAAAGTTACTTGATATGCAACATGCACCCTTGGCCAGCCATGCAGTGAAAGCAATAATGGAAATTTGATATCGGCTCAGAAAGAACAAGCAACAAAACAATAAAAGTCATTTCATTTTAGATTGGGTTTTCTTTAGTTTGTTTGTTTTTCTCTCAGTCTCTTCTTTACTGAACTAAACATGTACAAGCACATTTGAAACCTAAATTATAAACACAGACAGAATTCATGGATACACACTCTCCTACAGGGTGTCACAAGTGGGTATGAATCGAATCTGTTTTCCAGTCTAACTTTCTATTCCCGTCAAACACACAAACTATTGTTTGTCCGATGTATGACTCACAGGTCTCACCTAAAAGTCAAGACAAGTCAAAAACGTAACGCAAAGTTTTTGTGTTTTCAGTCTCGTCATTATTTATTACTTCCCAGAGTGCCAACAAAGATTAGCACAGTGAGGTGAACAATAAAGTGGGTGTGACCCTTGTGTGTGCAAGAGTAGGTGTGAACTGGAAAACAACAAATGCACACACAGTAACAAAAGAGCTCAGGCTTGGCTGTGGTGACAACAGTAAAAAGAAAGAAACTTTGTAGCAGGGAAAGTTCACGCAGCAGTAAATATGACTGCAACAAGTCCGACCAAGCAGCAAAACACTAAGACTTCAGCGCAAAGAGCCACTGCTGACCGTCACAAAACCATAAAGACTTCTACTTTTTAAGGTGCACACACTCTTAAAAAAAGAAAAGTCGTCCTCGTGTAGAAATTTCTCTGAAGCCCTAAATAACATCTGACTGCTTTTCCAATCCCTGCAAAGCCATATAAGAACATTTTTAGCCAAAAGGCATCAGCTCTCAATCCCAAACAGATGTTGCACCTTTGAAACACTGACCAAAACATCTAAAAATATCCCTACAGTACAGAGATCTCCTTGCTTTGTGACAAAACAAAGAAGTAGAAGCTCGAAAAACAAGCACACGCGAAACCATATCAGGCAAAAAAGATGCAATTTATCTCCCAGACCTTTCTCCTTTCTCCATCATTCTCTTAAGCTTCCAATTATGAGAGCGGCATGTCTAGTAGGAGTTAACAAAAGTTGCCTCAATCTCTTGGCCTGTCAGAGTTGGAGCGAGTTTCCCGACTAATTCACAGACGTTTCAGAGCCTCACAGCGAACAAAGCAGGCCAGATAAAGAAGAGTCGTGCTGCAATGTTCGTGAAGAAAGTTGTAAATATTTAAAGAGCTGATCGAATGGCTGAGTGTACTATGCGGATGTGCTGTAGGGCACTAAATGGTGTTGGTGAAAGAAAACACTAATTATTAGAATTGTAAGTTGACACAAGATGAGCTGTCATCTTTTTTTGGACAAAGATAAAAGAAAAATTGGTGGATTGTTCTTAGGAGAGCAAGTCAGAGGCTAGCTAATAACTCAGCTACTGTTTCCAAAACATCCTCTTAACTGGTGTGTACATACTGTCTCTGTCGACAGCCACTATTGACTATACTGTATGAATTCAAAGCAAAGCTTGAGGCACTATCCCATACATATATAAATATATGTATCGGTAAAGATTAATGAGTCAAACTTTTGAAATGCAATTGCAGGAGAGTTATTTGACCGCCTGAAGTTTATCAAGTTACGTGTCCATTCCTGTGTACATCTATCCACCTCGTATTATTGCAGCAGTTGTTTTTATAACCAGAGACAGTTCTATGCAAGTTTCGCTTGCCAGACATTTTCAAATCAATAGCCGAGATGACTGCAGATCTCAATTTGAATCAGATCTGAGGCCTGGCATCCCTGCAAGGCGAGGGCATTCTCTACGGCCCAAACACATGTGAGGTGCACCTTCAGTGAAACAGTGTTTGAACAGGTGCTAATTAAGCCCTAGCGACACCCTTTTTTTCCTTTGTGCAGCCAATTTTCTATTTCCTCAATAAAAGAGGTTGAATTTTTAACACTGCCAAGAATAGAGAGGCTGATAAATATTACGTTGAAAACTGTGTTGAGTGTTAGAGCTTTTCAATATGTTTGTAAAGGAAGGGAAGTTTGCCAACAGCTTAACAGCTTGCTTGATGCGGAGCACGTTCATCAACCTCTGTTGTTGAATTTAAATAAAGCGACTTGACTGCAATAGAAGCAAACTCTCGAGTGGGAATCAATAAATGGCATTTTAGGTAGTTTTCTGTGGTGTTTACACTTAAAACACCACCCCACAGCCATCCTCTGTATCTGGGTCAGCTGCTGCTGGGTTAAAAAATGACAGCAACAATCTTTTTCTTTATGTTAGCATTGCACTGTGTTTGCATAGGAACCTTTAAGAAGTTGCTTCATACATTTCAGTTCATCGAGTTCCAAGCTCTTTTTTTTAACACCTGCAGTTTCGACGAGAACCAGAATTTCAACAACAGCAACAAAAAAAAAAGAAGTTGGGGAAAAACTTCTCTACACAAATTGGAGTTTTTCTGCTGATGTACTTTGAAACTTTTAAGCTCTCAAAGTAAGATTCCCCTTTTCACTTTTTCAGTATCTTATTTAGCCATCTTTTTTTTTTTTTTGAAGAGCCGTCTTTTATTCGCCTCCCTTTGAAGGACCCGATTGGAGAAAGTCAGCAACTTGCCTGTCAGCAGCAAAGAATAAAAAAGAATTTCTGCAGCACCTCAATGTCACTGTGGCATCTGAATGAAGAGCTCTTAAAACCATCACCTTAGCTGCCTCATCACTCCTTTAAACTTAACCAATTTCACTTTAAACTTAGGTGACCATACGCAGCACTGCATGTAGTGTTAGTATAGCGGGGGTTAATATTTAAAGCAAAGCAATTGTGCCAAAAAGCTAACTGTAACTGGCAGACGAACAAAGCGAGGACAGATGACTGGTCAGGGCAGATTAGAGGAGCGGATCTGAGGAGGAACAGTAGACGAAAAAAAGGCTCTTTGGGGGTTTTAGTTTGTTACATCAGCAGGAAATAAACAAGATAGAATCAGAATAAAAGAAAAGAGATTAGAGCAGATATTGGGAGGAAGAATTCAGAGAGGAAATAGTCCTGAGAGCTGAGTCCAATTGTCCCTTAAACAAGTCGCACCAGAGCGTGTAGAGGACGGCCGAACGCAGGCCCCTGGGAGAACAATACAAGACCCCCTCTGAAGAGATTAACAAGAGGCAGGGGGACATTCCTTCCCTTTACTGCATACAAGATGTGAGAAACCGGAGACCGGGCTCGCTATTCTATCTGCAGCAAATCTTTTCTCTACTCAGCTGCCGCTTTTAATGAGACAATTTCACTGCTGTGCTATGGACAGTAAAGTACTCACCCTGACATCGCCATTGGTAGGTCGGGGTCCATGGTTGAATGCCTGTGCTGGATCTTTGTGGTAAACCTTCAGGCAGGAGTGGTCTGTGATGTTCCTGTAGGAGGAAGAGGTGCTCAGTGGTAAGAATTTAGCCCAGATATCGCCATCAGACAGCGGCCGATCCTGCCTCAGTCGGGTTCTCTGCAACAGCCCCACCAAGGGCACATACCCCGACAGAGGCTCTGACTGTTCGCTATTATCCGACATTCCCTTTAAATATTAAAAATCCGTAAAAAATATTAACTAATACTATCTTGCTACATGAACTGAGAGCACACCTGCTGTTTCATGTCCTGGGCTCAATTTAACTATGGCATTATGGTCGCCCGTACAGCCCTTAAGCTATGACGAGACAATATTTTTTTACAGCCCTGATAAAATATTACTCACAAAGTACACATTGCACTTGAGCAGGAGCTCTGCAGGCAAAGGGCAAAGTTCGTATGCCTTCAAGAGTAAAGCCTTTCCTTCTGAAAAACAACTACAACAAATGGCTGCCTGCTTTCTCAGAAGACAGAATCTGCTGTATTACTGATAAGACATGCAGGTGAATATCAAAGTAGGATAGTACTGATATGTATGTTTATAAATGAAGCAATGAGAGCTTTTAAAAAAAAAAGCAAATATTTCTTAAAGATTTGCAAAGTCAAATTTTTTCATTAAGACTGGCAACAACCACCAGGAAAGGTATCAAAGTCAGCTAAAAGTAAACCTTAGTTTGTTTACAGTTAATGCTCTTTTTTTTTTTTAACTTTCTCTTTAACATTGAAGGAAAGTGGAAGTGAGCCCATTTCCTGACCAGTGACATTTCCTGTTCAGGGAGAGCTGAAGAAGGAAGAGGATGGAAAGTGTTCACAGTGGGTAAATGGAAATAGGTCTATCCGATATCCTCACATTGTTCCATAATGATGTTTGTACAGGATCAACATTGCATCTGACCAATCACATTGTTATGATGTCATAGCTTTGTGACTTGGGGAAGAAAACTGCCGATGTCCACTCAGGAAAAACATCCAAAAAGGGGGCGGTTAGGGTCAGGGTTAGGTTTGAGGGTTAGGATGTGTCGTGGTTTGGGTTAGGGTTACGGGACTATAGTTACGGTTATGGTTAAGGGGTTATGGTTTGGTGTGTTGTGTGACGCTGTTTCCATGTCATAAAACTTTGACATCACGTGTGATTGGTCACTTGCAACATTAGTTATATCGATCCAAGAGCAACACCAACACGACAATATCAGATCGACCTAAGGAAATAATAAACACAGTATGCGATGGCAAATACATGCTCCCGATCCGTTTCTGTTACCATGTTTATCACATGCAAACACAGTGCATCTTTACCTGACATCAGCAAGTTCGTAATACACGTTCCTCATGTCGTCTTTGACGTACACGGCAACACTGGGTGACTCCAACATCTTCATGTTGAGCTGCTGCGGGAAGGCACTGACAAAGAGAGCTCTGATTGTGTCGATGCTGGTGATCTCATTGGGCATGCGAATCTGTTTGGTCTCGTCTCCGTACTGCAGGTACAGTACACCTAAAGGCAGGAAGCAGGGAGACTTGGTGATTAGTCCTTTCAAATGTTTCCCGTGACTAAGACAGCCCTATTTGAATTCCATAACTTGCATTAGCAGTGACGCATTGTTTCACTCCCATATGTTTTCTAAAGGCCTGAAGAATTTCAGCCCTGCATTCAGTGTTAATCTGTCAAGACAGTTCACTGACATTGTGTTGATGTTATTTCAATTACAAACCAGTGGTCTGCTTTTACTGTTGAGCTACTGTATAGAGTACTGACTGTGCAAGAATGCTCAATATATTGCAGTAAAATCATTGGGCTTATGTTATTTCATGTTAGTGCAGTAAACAATGCCAAAACTGTGGTGGTTAAACAAAAAGGGACGCTTGTAGAAGTTTGGGTTGGTTTAAAAACCCGTCAATGGTGAAAAAAATTAAATAAAAAAAACATCTAACAGCATAATTTCAGCCTTGTAAAAAGAGTTGGCAAGGGCCCATGTGACACGTCTGGTCATGGCCGCTCAGTGCAGATTACTGGCCGGACTCAAATTTTCAAAAGTTCCCGGTGTTTTTTTTCTTCTTTTTTTTGTTTTGGTGCAATTTGGATCAACTCCTGCACAGTCCCGAACGGATAAGAGAGTCTGAATTGGGCTTCAGCATTTATTCTCAGTTGAACTGTGGCTTGGAAAGCATCAAAAACAAAAATCCATGAATGTAATCATGTTGTGTGCAGCCTTTTGCTAAATATTTGTAATGCACTGCACTGAATCTTTTGCTTATCACTTGCACAGGATAAATTATTTGGTACAGGCAGTGAGCTTGGGGGTGGGGTCAGGAAGAGAGGACAAAACTAGGGGTGGATCAGTACAAGTTGTGCATCAAACAGACCAAAGCTTGAACCTCTGAACCCTGGGTGTGGCATTTGTACTGTGCTTTAGAAAAACAGATGGCTCTTGAACAAAATTTATGGCCACGCCTACAGAGCAGTTGTATAAACAGTGCGGGGGGGGGGGAAGGAAACAGAAAAAAAACATTTCTATTTTCAATCTGCGATTCATTACCTCAAACGGCTTTGTGCTGATCTTCACAGGCAATCAGTGGCAACAATAGAACGTAATGAAATGATCAAAGCAGTTCAATCAGCTCGTGTTGTTGTTTTGCTCATATTTCATAAGAAATCATCCAAAATGTCACATTTCATTAGCTGCAGAGGCAAAATTGTCACTTGTGCATTTATGCACTGGAAATAACTTGCTTTAAGGAGAGGAGGGTTTGGTTTTACTTGGTGTAACCCCATAAAAGGAGCTAGCCAGTAAAAGCTACCAGATGTTGGTGAAATATTATACAAGATCCTACATGCACCACGAGACAGAGTGAGACAGAGAGTGAGAGAGAGAGAGAGAGAGAGGGCAAATCCAGGAAATAAAATTGCTGAGTCTATCCGTTGCTTTCTCTCTCTGGTCTGTCTGGGTTCCTGTGTTGGAAAAACTTAACAAAGTGCCCATTTGCAGAATAAATTCATCTTTCCCCTGAGAGCTGTTACGTTAACGGCCGTGTAGTTTTCATCCAGATGTTCGCAACTAGGGCGAAAGAATTTGATGACAAAGCACCATTGATTGAGATTGCATCGTTCACACCTCTGTACTCTTATTTGCTATGACAAAGTTGAATAGCTCAGTTTTAACAGCTGCATTCCTGAGCACCTGGTTTCACTGAGGACTGGAAACAAATAGCTAGTGGGTTTTTCTGACCAAATGGGCACAGTTTTTCCACATCTCTCCAGTAAGACACAAAAGTCTAAAACAAATAAAGTCTAGAAATATATGCTCATCGCAGCGATTGAAATGCAGCGAAAAGACAGACGACTATAATACACCCGCAAAATGAAGAAATTCAATACACTTGATGCCACACTTAAGGATGAATTTGATACTCACGTTTGAGGTTTTAAGGAATCCCTGTTTTTCTGCTCGCTGTTAAGATGCTCTCAAAAAGCCAGAAGCTACTACACCAAAAAGACACTTAAAAGTCCCAAATGTCTGCTGGGACCAAACGAAGCGTGTGCCTGTCTGTTTGTGTGTGTGCATGTGTGTGAGAGGCAGTGGTGGGAGGGACAGTGTTATGAAGTGGTGCCCCCCACCTCCCCCCTTTTTTTCTCCTCCCCTTTTTCCTCACACCATAACCCCCCACTGTCTTAACACTCTGTCTTGATGTTTTTGATAGAAGGACAGAGAATGATGGGACATGTGTACGTGCATGTGTAGAAAAACTTTTCAGACAAAGCAAGAGGCACTACTGGCACGGGAAAGGAATACGACACCCTGCAGTTTCATTCATTTTCACTTTGGTCAAAAGTCTCTCAGATGCTTGCCTATTATCCCGTGGCAGACGCCTCGCCGAGTTGTGAGCTGCGCTGACGCTACACTTTGTTTGGAGAGTTTTCTAAGACTTTGCATCCCTCTCAGCCAAACACAGGCACCTAATTCTGCACAGCTCTGAGCCTTTGCTGCATATGTATGCAAATGTAGCACCGTGCACGTTGATAAGACGACCCGTTTCTAATCCTGTCAATACCACGATGGCACACTGTGGATGCTTTTCTCCTATCTTTCACTACAGAAGAAATGAATACTAATTAAAACAAAACTGTGCGCTCAGGTTGAGAAAGGAGGAAGGGTGGAGACTAGCAGACGGATGGAGTGAGAGGAACAGATTTGGACTTTTAGTGAAACAATGACATCATACTGTGGTTAGGAGCTATTACAAAAAGTTATGCCAAGGTTATGCTAAAAGAACGTGTCAAACATTACTAATGCTAGTTAATGCTGTGAGTCTTTAACAGGGCAGATACAGGAACTTCCTTATAGCAAATTTATTTGGGGATTTTGAAATAGAGCATTACAAGATTGTCAACTGAATTTTCTCAAACTAACAGAACTGCCATGAACCCAAAAACTAATATAACATCCAGCATACCTAGTGAGCGGTCCTTTGTCTGATTGGCCGATCGCACAACAGGCAGGCTGGCACGAACCCGGCTGCCACGGGTGAAGGTTGTGGGCGCTTCAGCCTCTGACATGGTGTCCAATGATTCCAGGGAGGCTAAGGACAGGTGGTCGACCTGATCGCCGATACTGTGCTGGGTGCTGGCGCCGTGCTTTGGGCTTCTGCTCTGAAATGGGAGCACATGGAAACAACACCGTAAGAGCAATACCCTGTACACAAGTGTACACAAGATGATACTTTACATGCTTTAGTATTACATTCTCTCAAGGACACAACAAAAAAATATATTTTTTTCACAGTATAAGAAACTTCTTTGTGTTATCATGCATTTAGTGGAGCAGAAATAACACTTCCTTACAATGTCAGGTGTGCTGTGAGTCACACGCATTCTTTGCAAAGCGAGAAAAAGAAATCTTTGATGGTGACTTTGACTTTGACTGCAGCAACACACAAAAAACTATGAGTCTACTCATACAAATGTGCAACAAAGTGTTAATACATGCACTACAAGATCTTCTGCTGCTATTAAATACACACCCACAGGTATGCATGGTTACTAAAAGTACCAACACCCTAAAAGAGTTCAAAGAGATTCCTAAAATGTTGTTCCAGAAAGAGAAATTTCTAGTAACCACTGATTAAACATCAGGACTTGTGTGATCAAAACGTGAAGATCAGTTCACTTCTCTGTAATCATATCTGCATGGCGTGGCATCCTCGAGCTAGGGATACAATAAGAAGATCTGTGACCTGACTCCTGAGCCCACTGAGCTATTGTGCGGTAAGGTAAGGTGAGCTCCACCTCAAGGGGAAAACTCTGAACACTGGGCTCTTTATGAAATTGCTCCCCTTTCTGGCAACAAAAATGGCGATGTAAAGCCATAGCAGATGAAGGCACAAGACTACCAGGCCAGGTCCTATGGGTTATCTTGAACAAGCCAGCCTGCACATGCTGCCATTATCTCACACTCATACTCGCAAGGGCAAAGAAAGAATGTAAGCATATTAAGATAAGTGCAGTTGACAGATGTAGTTTAACCTGACAGCCAAGGCTGGCTGACAGACAGGGCAGACACTGATAGACAAGGGGGCACTTGGCTTTAGGAACATGGTCACAAAGCAGATGTTAGCGAGTGTGCGAACATGGTCACACAAACACACACTCTGACAACACTGCAGTATGATGCAGATAAGATAAAAGGCTGACTAACTCTGTGGGGCAATTGGATTTTCATCAAATACCTCTGAATGTCAAGCTCAGAGTGAAGTGAGGAGAGCATGGCCTGTAAAGACTGATGGAAGAAAAAAGAGGAGAGGAGAAAACAAAAAAGCAAAAAGCTTAGAAATGCCAGTGGGAGGTTGAAATGGAAAAGAAATGTTCATCCGACAAAACAGAAGAACCATGGCAACGAATCAATGTCGACGGCAGGCCATAGAACAGAGGAATGAGGCTAAGTGCAAAGACAACCTAAGTGCAAAAGTTAAACATAGTCTAAAAAGTTAGATTGTATTTACTTTAAATCATCACTTTTTATATGCTTACGTTTGTTAAAATTAGCACTGACATGATAATCCTACAAATCCTACCTCTTAAAAATGTCTACAATAACATTAATTGCAGCCATTTATACAATGCCATATCCTTTAAAAAAAAAAACCATTTAAGCTCATCAAACTTCACATCCCTGTGTGATGTTTGCTGAGTCAGTATGCAAGCATTTTTCTGAAGTACCGTCACAGCAGCTGGGCAAATTGGTGAGCCGCAACTCAACTTTTATAATTCCATTAAAATATGCTTATACTGCAGGACTCAGAGATTTAAAGTAATGAATAAAAATGTACTCTTATTTTGTTAATACATGACGATAGCCACTTAAATAATAATAACAATAATAAAAGAGAGGTCACACACAGTTGGGCTGTCACCTGAAACCAGTCATGTGTCTGGAATTTAATCTGACCACTGAATGATACATGACCTTATTCACTGTTGGTGGCCCTCCCAAACTGCTTCTCATATGCTACTGTGTCACCCCTGGGAGTGTTGAATCATTTTGGTTTCTTCCATCACCTGTAGGTAGTAATTATGTCAGAGTGGTCTGGCAGTGTAATCCAGTGTTTTCTAAAAATACTGAAGTGGAGAAAGCGGCAGCCACATTCAGACTTTAACTTTAAGTTCCCTTAAGGATCACATTTCTGAGTTTGCTGTGCAAATTGATAGCGTGGTTTCAGATGTGCTTGGCCATGAGGTTGATATCAGTAAACAAAAACTTAAATTACTCATAGTTTTGGCTGGAACTCAAAATGTAGGGGAGTAGAGGAAGATTAGATCATTTTGTTCTTTGCTGTAACTTAGTTAAGAACAGAGTGTTTCCTCCTTGATTGAAGGCTTTATTCTAAGCTAAGATAAAGGTAAGCTAAGCTATGCTAAGCTAAACTCCACCTGGCTTCAAATGCATATTTAATTAGAAGGTCCTTAAACTATTAATTTAAATGATAGAAAACCAAAACCATAGTTAAAGTAAGAAAATATCATTTTTGGTACTTACTGTATATATATTTAAATATATTTTAAATACAAGCACATTTAGCCACAATAAGCTATAGCAATATGGCTATAGTGCAGTAGAGTGTCAAAGAAGAATCTGTTTAAAGTGACTTTTATTTTTATGTTTCAATAAAAATAACTGTTTCACAGGAAGAACCTATGTGATATATATTTGCATTAATTTAATTTTCTCCCTCACCTTATTTACTTGGCAGCATTGTGCCCTAAATTAATGGGACAGGATCACACTGAAAAAGCAGTTAACTTCAATTGAAGCATAGGGGCTAAAGCTTTAGAGCCAGAATGATACAGGATTTTAAGGATCGATACCGATATTTGGTACCGTTTTTTTTTTTTCCCCCATTCAGACACACAAAACAAACAGAATTTCCTAACAAAACTTGTTTGCAGTTGTTTATTTATTTGTTTATGCTCTACTGGTTGTTGCGTTTGTGCCATTCCAGACAAGCATGCTGCTAAAACGGAAGTTGCAGATTGCCTCGTGGTCAACGAGCAACTCAACACTGATAACATGGTGGAATGGTGTTTTTCCTGTCTCTTCTTAATTTTTTAGATTTTCATTTATCAACCATTATAAACGTTGATAGACCGTCGAATATCTGCCGATAATTTCAGGCCCTCAACAAATCGACCAGGCTGTGAAACTATTACACCCTATTCAGTGACATAAACAGTATCCATGGCTCATCATAGTACTCAAGATAAGATCTTTAAACAATGGTGGCACGTTTCTTTGTTACAGCAGCAGCATTTCTTTGCAGTGACAGTACACTACCTTGACTATGCAAAAGAAGAGACATCATTAAATTGACATCCAAAATGAATCTCATTCACATGGAAGGCATGCTTCCTTCTTTACACTAAACAGTGGATAATGCTGGGATGGCACACCCTCGATAGTACAGAATCTAAAAAAAAGAAAAGGATATTTATTGGATATGTACTCAAATTTTATTTCAAAGGGAAAGTTGTCTTATTTAAAATGTACTTTTTTTAATTTCTAGAAAATGTTACAATGGGTACAATGTGACAGTTATTGCACAGGAGAGAAAGGCTGTTAAAGCGAAAGGAGTCAAACATAACGATGGAGAAAATTGCAAATGAGACCTTCTACCTCCCTGTGGAGAGGTGGGGTAATTAAGTTAAACCACTCCACACCACTCCACATCTGACAAATGAGGTGTCTCCTCAAAAGGTTAACAGTTTAGTTCAGATTAACTTCTCCGTCTCTTTCTCCCTCACTTGCATACGTGCATAGATTCTCAATTCAACACAAAATCTCTGTACATATCATATCGTCCTGAAGTATTTGAGCCACAGACGCTTCCTGTCCAAGCTTACCCCTTCCTGCCTTAAGGGCCAAATGTGAAAGCCACAGACCGCCCGCTGATTAGCAGTATAAAACCTGCTTCTGCCCACACATACCTATAGTACATTCCACAGCAGCAATTTCCCCTCACTTCAGTCAAAACCAAACAGCCTGTGATTCTGCTTTTTCAGCAGCGACTGCCTCTGTACACCACATTGGGTCTGACAGTTATGATGAATGTGAAACTGAGACATCAACATTAGCTCATACACAGGAACATGACAAGTCATAAACTGATGAAAATAGCCCCTTGGGAAGGAACGTGTCTAGAAAATTAAGCTCGAATCTGTCAAAGAAATCAGAAAATGTCGACTTCAACGACGGCTTGGTTGTCTGGTGCTGCAGCCAGTGTCAGCGGCCTGTTTTTCCTTTTTCTTTTTTTAAAAAAAGTAAACCTGTGTCAAATAGTCATCATGATTAGAGTATGTTAGAGCAGCTCTAGAAATAACTCAGTGAAATTTGCCTCATCTAAATGCTGATGTTGTGTGGCTTAGAGCCTTTTCCTCAGGCTCTTGCTGGAAAAAAAAGAACTGTCTTGAACACTACTTGCTGGAGCCTTATTATATTAAATGGATGTCAAAAATTGTACAGTGTGGGCAAGCAATAATTAGGCAAACAACCATGCTTGCGGAGAAAATAGATGCAAGATAAAAGTGTTTCAGTCAAACTCTGTCTGTCCCAGTGTGTGTGTGTGTGTTTGAAAGCCAAAGAAAGACGGATACACAGAGACACTCAGTGTGTGCATGAGTGAGTCAGGCCATTGTTCCAGAAAATCTGACCCGAACCCAGGACATCCTGCAAACATTTATGCAACAGTGGTCTGACAAACAGTATGTTGTCATGAGAAAGCAAGCGTTGGCTTGCATGTCTGCATTAACAAAATACATGTAATATTCAAACTTTATAGGTCAGTGCTCTTTCATACCATGCCCCGTACACTTCACTTGATTCACTTTTCACTATAGTTCCACCTCGTGATCATGCGTGTACAGTGTGGGTGCTTTTCACTGTAACCCGTCTTGATTATTGCAATGCTACTTTCACTGCAAGGACAATGTTACATGATTTCACAAAGCAGAGCAGAATATGTTATATCACGGTCCCCTGGTCTTAGTCTGACAGGTTGACATGCGGAGTTGAGCTGGGGCGATTAAAGTAAATTACAATTGTTAAGAATAATGGCAGCCACCATCAGGGTCTTACTGTGTCATTCACTGAGATTTAAGTATAGATATGGTCCAAAAATTGCCATGCACCCCACCTGCTGCCAGTCCACACAAAGCCCACTGATTGGAGCTTGACTTCTTATAGAATCAACGTGGTGTTATAATAGCTTAGCCTAGCTTTCACCTTAAAAACAGGGGTATTAGTCTGCTTTCCCTGTAGTCATGGTGATCATTTTCCCCTTTGGGCTGCATAACATTGGAGATCTTTAAAAAAAGAAAGACACAATGCAGGTTTCACAAGCATCCCAAAAAGCCAAAGTCGATCCGTCTGTGACTGTATTAGCCTAAACAACATCCACTACCAGGGTCCGACTACAATAGTGTTCATTCACACGTCATGTTCTATGTAAACAAACACAAAGAATGCACACAGGCAACCAGAGGAACAGGTTTCATTGACTCGTTCTATACTTCCTTGCTGGACATGAAAGAATGTAAACATGAGAGTTGAGGTTGAAGCTTTAAACACAAACTCAACTGTTGTGAGCACAGCTTTCCACTTAAGATGCTAATTTGGCTCGAGCTCTGGGGAGCAGAGCTAGAGCCAACTGTAATTACCTGGTCCGATCTGCATGAAAGACGACGGTGGCTCAGCAGTGTACTGTTAACCCTTCGCTCAACTTGGTGCTATAAGCGAGATATCAGAATGAGACAAGTTGAGCGAAGGGTTAACAGTACACCGTTGTCTTTCATGCAGATCGGACCTGCCGTAGTTGATACGATAGGAATGAATGTGTAGTAAAACATAATCAAGAAAAGAGTTCAACAATGGAAGCGCCAAATTGTCAGAGCTAATTAGCAAACGTGAGTCAAAAACTTAATGCCGCTGCAGTTCTACACAACTCCGAAGCATAAAGCCCCTGTCAGTCAGCTGGTCAGCTCTCAGTCTGTATGTCTGTGGACAGACCATCACCCTTTGTCTACCTTAGCCTAAATGACATTATTCCAAAATCCCCCAGTCATCCATTCCTATTCACTGCTACCGAATCCCTCCCTCCCTCCCACCTCTGATGCATTCCTCCTCTAATCCCCTCATCAAAATCCCCAGATGACCTTTCCAGAGATGGTTATATTTGTTTAATTGTTGCATTCATTTATAGCGTCTACAGCTGACCATGGAAGTGTGAAAAGATAAGATCCTACTACTTAAAAAAAAAAGTTCCAAAAATGTATATGCAAACAGTAACCTTGACTGTTACCATCTCATTTGTAAAATATTACACCGAAAAATCAAATGTAACCACAGTGCACTGCAGGATGATTATCTCTTACACCACTTAGGACATGCTGGACAACAGCTGAGCAACACTCCCCAACTGATTTTATCTGCTCACACATATACAAGTGAGCCAGGGTTATCACTAGCAGACATCGCCCTCTCCACTGAACAAGCAAGGTTAAAAAAAACGGCAACTCTGCGCAACCCATCGGATGTAATCGTCAATGTGTGGTCATGAAGTAGAGAACGCCAACTTCACGAGGTTGTTTCGTGTCGTATTCGTTTACTTTGCATACAAGAATAAAAGTACAGATGTAGCTAAATGAATATGATCAAGCAAAAATCAAGTTCCACATTAGATTTAAAAAATAAATATATGTGAAGACAGCATTTACCATGCTTCAGAAATGACAGTCTTCTTCCGAAGGTGACTTCCATGTGAGACTGGAAACTCCCTGGCCTAAGGGAAACAGGGTTTCTTCCTCCAGTGTTATTTCAGCTCTCGAAGCACTCAGTACAACTGCCCTGTCCAGCTTCCTTCTCTTTCTGTTCTACCTCACAGCGGATGCCCCCCCTGCGCCCAGTCCAATGCACACACTCTCCCACATCCCTAACGATCCAGCAACACAATACAAACACACACAGTCCACACCAGGCAGACAGCAGGGGGAAGCCATTGTTTTTCTGTGTGCTTTTTACATTTGTGTAACACTAAGACTGTATCGGAGAGTGAAGGACATCTGCACAAGTCATGATGCTCAATATTTCTTATTTTCAGGCCATTCCAACATCTGAGGGGTGCAAAAGATCGGATTCCTGCAAACAGCTTTAAATTCCATGAGGTTTCCATTTTGAGATAAAAAAGGAAAAAAACGAAATACATTTATCTTAAAACAGCAGCTTCAGCATAAACTCTCAGCCCAATCTCAGCTTCCATCGCACTGCCTGAGGGTGCGACTGAAGACAGAAAGATGACACTTGTGTCTCAAGGAGATAAGACCCTTCTCCAAGGATCTCGAGGGCTTGGCAGGCCCTTATCCAGTAGTATAAACACATGGACACACCCATGAAAATATATGTATGATCCCCTTGCTGCAGTGTTTCTGGGAAAGCTTTATTGAATGTTGGGATAATTACAAAAACAATTTGTGCTCCTTTGTTAAAAAGCTTTGTTGTGCTTCAGGCCTTGCACTCGTTCAAAGCCGTTACATAAGAAAGCAGGCCCAGACTTAAACTTAGACTGACAGATCATGTACTAGCCTTGCATGCAACGATTTGCACACATCTATAAATGTGCACATACAAAAAAAAAAAATCTCCCTTTCTCACCCTCTTGTCTCTCTTACCAAACAAATACATGCAAAATATTTGCTGACAGGGCTGGAGAGACACGTTCTGTTCAGACTTGCTCTTCAATATGACTTTATCAACAGAAAGACAGGTTTCGTAGTTCCCAACCCTTGGAGCATCCCAAAATAACACAAAAGCAACAGAGTATTCCTTCATGGCCAAAAACCACATCCACGTCCTGGGCTGTCAACACAGAGCGTCTCTCTCTCTGGGGGGAAAATAAAGGACTTTCCAGGTCTAATTTAAGCCACCCTGTGTGTATATCTGGGCATCAGAGGATGCGTGTGTGTGTGTAGCTCTGTGGTCAACATGACAAAGAGGGCTTTCTTCTCTTTAGGGCACTTTTAATCCTGTATCCTCTATGATGTCACACACACTGTATAATCTAATAGAAACAAGGCAGCATAATTTGATTTTCTTCCACCTCACCTTTTTTGATTACCATGAACAGGCCATTTTTTCTGGTTCTAAGTCACAGTATTTTGTCAAGTGTCAAGTCTCCTTCTACTCCCATGAAAGCAAGCCTGATAATGGCTTTGCTATTCGTGCCTAATTAACAAGTCACCAAAGACCACACAGCTCCTCCACCGAACCTAAGATTTATTATACCCGCTCTCCCAGAGGAGAGCTTTTTGGTGTGTCTTTGTGTTTGTGTGCACAGACAGACAAAAAAAGACAGATAATCACTAATAGGTTGAACTTTTCAGTAAGCCTGATCCACATTAGTTTTCACTGTCTTCCCCCTCCTCACCAAGGACTGGCCGTAGCATACAGTGTCTGTTATCCACTTCTAATTCCAGCGTCTTACTGCTGAGCTGCAAATGAGACCAAAAAGTAGCTATTCACACAAATAAATAGACACAAAATGCTGGCCCATGTGTTTGAGGTTACGCAATTGCTATGTGAGATTCAAGTCCTCTTCTTCAACGGAGAGCAGTGGAAATTAAAGCTTAAGGTGCTAAGTCACCATCATGTTTCCACTCTATGACACACTTGTTTTGTTGGCTGTCATGTTAGCACTAACTGCAATGTGTTAAACAGCCCACTAAACACAATGTAGCACGGCTGAGTTGCATGATAGTGTGAAGGGTTATATAAACACGAACCAAAGCTAAGGTAAAGAACTGAATCTGTAGCACACGCTCTACTTCTGTCAAACCGGCTAATTTATTAATTCCAGTATCTGCCCATACTTGCCTGCTATACAGTACTCTACATTCCAGGTGTTCCCTATCTTCTTTATCATCTTGTTTAGCAACAGTAAAACCTGTGTGAACCTTTGCATCTATACTGACTTCGACTAGTGTTGCTGCACTGCTCTCCTCTGTGCACCTAACACTGCATCGCCTTTATCTTCAGTGAGAAGGGCCAAGTGGAAATAAATGCAGGAGATCAAAATGAAGTTTGAACCAGATGCTCAGAACTGGTCCTGTCAGTGGTAAAAATCCTCTCGGTGTGCCTTTTGAAGTCAGGCTCATACCTTTGGCCTAAGGTGGAGTCCAGATGCTGGGTTGCATGCAAAGGCTTGCAAAAGAAGGGCACAAAAAAGGGGTAAAACAGCCCCTTTTGCCTAGTTATGATGTTTGGAATCTCTTGGCCTATATATAAGAACAGTAACAATTTATGATATAAAGTAATATTGCTTATTTTATATTGTAGTGTTGGGATGGTTTTCAAAATCCATTTCAATAGATAATACATGCCCTTACTTGTAATTTGAAGTGTATTATGTTAAGATTGCTCAGAGTGAGTAATGCCTTTACTTTAACTTTGTGTTAAACTAACATTGCATTGAGCGTAACACTGTAAATGAATCTGGCATTTACTCAGGCTTCTACCCAAAGCGAAACTGAGCCCAGGAGTCTGTCTGACGAAAATGTTTTATCTAGCAAATACATTTTTCCTTGACCTTTTATTTTTCTACAGCATCAAGTTAGAATGAAAACTAGTAAACAAGATAAAGGGTAGATTGAATTTACACTCTTTTTAGAACATTTTCTTGTCGACTCGACTTGCAACTTTACCTCTTAAAACAGAGAAGCACTACAAAGGCAGCTTTTACCTTCTTTGTTTTCCTACAGCATGAAAGAAGTAAAAAAAGAAAGAAAGAAAGAAAAAATCTGCAATGCTAAATAGAGGAGGGAGGCTAGCTTGCACACTAAAGGTTTGTAGTTCTCAGATGGCTGTTTCAAAGTTTCTAGACTTATTTTGAGGGAGGAGAAATAATATTAGGGAAAAAAACTTCCACATCAGGCGTGTTGTTGTGGATCGTTCGTTAGTCAAATAGTGGTGATGTTAATGCTCATGTGTTGACCAGCAGGTGTATACAGTAGCAAGCTCATTTGGCAATTTTAACACCAAGCAAGCTAAAGCAACTAAAATATGACTATTTTTAAGTTTTAAAATAATACAGGCAGACATTTAATTGTACCATCTAATTACACTAAATATATTACCCGACATTCCTTCTCATTTAAAGTTAAGGTTTCTTAAATTCAGATTGTTTCACCTCACATCCCTCTTTTTTAATTTCAGCACACCTTAAAATTTTAAAGTTGTTCTAAAATAATAATGATTCTAACTTTGGAGTTTTAAAGGAAAAGATGCGATGCAAATTTTGTGAGTGGCTTTACTGCAAGCCATATTTTTATATTATTACTACTAATATTGAAGAATTAAAACTGCACTGTAGAGTTCGCTGGATGTAATCAATGGGTCCTGCTTTGAACTTACCACACTTGCGAATCTCTAATTATTCAAGACCTCGCAGAAACCTTTTTGTTCTATGAATATATGTAAATACAATTTTAAAAAGACAGAACAGAAAGTTTGATTTTTAGCACGACCACATATGATATGATATGATATGAAAACACTGACTGCTGTAATTTAACATTATTGGCAGGGACAGTGTTAATAATAATGAAGTCAGTGCTAAGTGAAATAAGGCTAGCATGGCGTTGAGTCCCTTCTCCTGTGCACAGAGTCCCTACAGGAGCAGCCTTGCTTGTTATCTCTGCAACATAGTGGCGATGACAGGATAACATTCCATTTTAATAAAGCTGCAAGTTTAAAGACAAAAGTTTGCAAGTTTGGACAAAAAGTCAGCAGGGCCAATAAAGGATGGAAATGATCCCCATACCACCCAAATGACCAAGAGGTTGTTATTTCATACCAGAGGTACATGAATGTGCACAGTTGACTGGTCAAGCATGCTTATAAAAAGGACCCTCAGAGATACTGTGCTCATCTTTAAGCAATCTTAACCAGCAAAAGGTGGATTAGAAAATGATCAGGGAATCCATTAAGATTGCTGAATACAACTAATTAATATTAATATAATTAATCACCCTTTCCTGAACATTGTAGCTTAGTTATTAGGGTTTGTAAGAGGGCAGCCATGTTAATGAAATAATATAAGCAGCAGTAAGGCTCCTTGGGCTCTGACTGCTGTATTAGAAATGCTCCTGAGTGTTAACAAAGGAATGTAAGGGCGTGAGCTTAAACGTGTCCCATACATCAGACTGCTGCAGATCCTTGTAGCAACTACCTGTACGTTAAGCCAACAATGCATCTGAAGATAACTGCTGATGTGCGACTTTAAGAAGGGCTAATACGGCTCTAAAGAGAAGACTGAAAAGAGCTCAGACCTGATTAGCTGGTCTGATTAACACACTGGCATTGCGTTTGAGACAGTGTGCAAAATTCTGTCTGGCTTCACTCATTATCAGCAGTGATCAGTGGCAGGTCCATCAGGGCCCTCTGTCAGAGCAGCTTAACCGCCCCCCACCCCAAACCCCCAACGACACTCGGGATTAGACACAGCCGTGGCGCCACTCTTTAGACCACTTGTCCTCTCGGTTGGGGTGCTGCGTCCCCCCCCGCCACGTGACCCCGGTTAATTGGCAGGTCAGTGCCTGTCCGTCATTAACCTTGCGGTTCTTGTTTGTGTTACCGAAAGCAGCTCTCAAAGTGTTACTTCATGCAGAGGTGGCAGATGCTATTAAAAAGCAATCCAGAGCCATTTCCAGGGTTTGATAATTAAAAACAGATGTTCTGCCGCAGACCTGCAGGACACACCGACTCATTGTGTGGTTTCAGATGCAAGGTGCAACACAGGGAGTGTCTTGTGAAAACACATCCGTGGGTTTAAATATTTCAGCATGCAACACCTGAATGTGTGCATGGTGATGTCCCAGTCACTGCACGACTATTGTGCCAGAAGGGACAATGACAAATGATCTTTTCTTGTGTGGGCAGATTACTTAAAATCAGGAACAACACTCCCCCCAAGACTAGTTCTGCTACTTCTTCTGTTTTTTTCCTCTTTTCTCTGATCACGGTCACATCTCTCTCAGGGAGTCTATGCATGTTTGAAGCCAGTTTTATCTAGCTGACCTTGGCTTCAGGGAGCAAGAGTGTAGCAGGGCCACACAGAGAAAAGTATGTGCCTAAATGTTGCAATGCCTTGGACTCGGGGTTTTTCCCTTTTGGACTTTTGAATTGTTCTTTATGATTTAATGCTCCATTGGCTTCTGAGATCGATTATTCTTGATCACTGTCTTTACTCTTGAGTTCTTGGTATCAGTGAATTGTTTTCAGTTAATATTTTGCTTAGGGATTAGTTTTGCTATTTTTTATGTTTTTATTTTGGTAGTTTTTTGTTTTTAGTATCTTGTTTCGCTTCCCCTGTCTCGTCATTGTGGATTTGTTTCAGCTGCGTCTCTTACCCTGGCGTTTCCCATCTCCCTGGTTTCCTCACGTGTTTATTTATAGCCTCGGTCTGTCTTAGATCACTGTTGCGTCTTACTGTTTATTTTCCTGCACGCCTGCCTGCGAGTCTTTCCCCATTTAATTTATGGATGTTGTTTTCTGCCTATTGCATTTATTCTTCTTTACCTGAATAAAAGCTTGATTTTTGTTCATTTACCCCGGTCTAAAGAATCTGCATTCGGGTCCACCTTCACACCAATACATGACAAATGGATTAAAAAGAGGCTTAGACATAGCATGATGTTTCACATGTGTTGCAGCGTTGGCCGACTGGATGACTACATCAGCGACCTGTGTTTGGGTAGCTGATAGAGTTCACTGTTGGTTGTAATATATAGTGAGGCAACTTTCTGCTGTACCCCTGTGCAAATATCGTGAACGCAGGTTGGTGGACTGACAGAGACTGGTTGGAAAACTTTACCCTATCACTCACACATTATTGTGAACATATACCCTTAATTCACGTTTTATCAAACATGTGTGCCATAAATACAATACCTATGGTAATTGCACAGAACACAACATGACAATGGCACCCTGTATATTTGGTATATTTGGGTGCCTTAAAAAGTCTTGTTTAAAAACTTTCTCTTTAATTAAAATTCATAAAACAGAACAAACTGTTCAGATCACACTCTGACCGTTCATGTTGCAGGAGAACTGCATTATGAGCATCTCCTTCCCAAAAACATTTGCCCATCTTGAAATATGTGCCCTCATAAGACATAGGCCAACAGATTATCACAGCTTGGGGGTGCAGACCTTTCTGTCTGTCTGTCTGTATGATGCCCACAGCTGCAGACAGCTGTCCTAACATGGCCGCCCCACTCTGGAGAGAAACCCGGAGCCTGGCAAGTCACAGCTCATCAAACACAGACACTGGCACACAAGCGGAAGGAGGGAATTCATTGTGTGTGTGTGTGTGTGTGTTCGTGACCAGTCGAGCAGCTCGGTTTGTGCTTGTCTAAGCCCCTGGGCAGGGGGAGAGGGATGAGAGGATAGGTGGCGGTCAGGCCAAGGGGATCTTATCTCATCTCCCTTGGGTGGAATCCAGGTTTTTGCAGACCCAATGAAGAGCAGAGGAAATTAAAACACTTCTGCTTTTGTTGCGGATTTAAAGATCACAGAAGAATGAAGAATCAAGGGATCCCTTTTATAAGCATAAGGCAAGCAGTCTGTAGCTATGTGTGAGGGTATCTGTGTGATTATTCCTAAAAGACTGGGGTCATCACTTTTCGGGCTGACACAATATCATCTTCCTAACCTCTGGTTGACCTTGAAGCATCTCCGCCTTTGTAACTCAAACCTGCTTCTTCCTTCTGAAGCACGCATCGCCACTGATGTTGCTTTTCCTGTATGGTAGGCATGTTTGCATCTGCGTGAGAACGGTGGCAGGTCTATTTTTTTCCCACACTTTCACAAGAATGTTGTTGTGGGCAAGATGACACATTTTCTGGCAGTTATTTTTTCCTTTAAATCTGAATAATTACACCCCTCAGGACACCGAATGACAAACACTTCAATAAACTTGTCATTATTTTCATTTTCTGCTGCTTCTGTTAGCAGTGAGTTATTGCATTATTCTTGACATCCAGAATTGGATCATGCCAACTGCATTCTTCACTCATCTTTTTCTCATTTATCAGCGTTGAATTTATTTTCCAGGCATTGGTGCTCGAAAGCTGCCTGCTTTTTGACAGCGTCTTGTATCTTCATCCTGGACACGATGTATTCAAGACCCATCAGCGCCCGAATCCCATCCCACATGTCTGAGTAACACATATGCAGTTTCTCTCCAAAAGAAAAAAAAATCAATTTGAAGGTGTCACGCTTTGCAAACTGACAGTCAGCACCAGCAGATCTCTCATCTCAGTTCAGTGTTTCAGCAGCTGAGAGAAGAACTTCACAGGGCATAAAACCTGACATTTTCAGAGTAACTGCATGTCACCTACAAATAAAGACAGTAAGCTCTCTGTGACTCCGGAATGACCCATAACATTTTTTTTTATACGAGCTCATCAAAAAACAAAAGAAACTACCATGTAACAGCATGTTTACAGGCGGCAAGTAGCAGCCTTGATTTTTTTCTGAGTAAATAACCTTCTCCAAAACCCTGAGAGATAAAAAAGAAACCGGAACTGTCCTGGCAGCCTAATCAGGGAAACAAGCCCACAGCTTTAGTCTACTCGTATTAGTGCATAAAATATTAAATGAAACATTAAAGCACGAGCCACAAAGTTTGGGAAAACACAGCAACTTTCAACAAGCTCCAATTGCGGATCTTTTTACGCATAAGCACACAGCCAAAAGAAATATAAGATGACACACAAGATCTCACACGCCTGGTATGAATCTTCACCTCAACTCACCAGCAACAACAACAACAGGAACCAGCCGCGTAGCAATCACAGCTATACTGTCATATAATCATCATCACCATCATTATCACGCAAGATGCAGCACGTTATTAAGGTATAACCCCAGACGTCCGTTCACAATGGATCATTTGCTTTGCAATTATAGCTACATAAGTGGCAAAATTACGGGGATGCTGCACACGGGATTGCACATTTTGGATAATTTACACCTCAAGGCGTCGACCCAATTAAATATGTCGTTGCGGTTAAATACTTTTCGTCGATTTGTATTCTTGGGAGAGAAGGGGAAAAAAAACTCGTGCACCAAGTTTTGCATTTGCCTCTTGGAAGTTTGCAGCACCTGACAGCAGCCTGGTGCGCGCTGCCTCTGGCGCAATAGTGAAACTCCAGGGCGTTTCAGTGTGCTCATAAGAGCAACAATCCATGCATCTTTGTAGTACTTCCACGCGCACTAACATGTGAAAAGGCACTGGACGTCTAGAAAAAAAGAAACCAGTACATTTCCCGATGTATCCTACCTTTTCTTCTTCTCCCCTCTGACTGGACTCTCGTCTCCGTTGTGATAAATGTATTCCTTTGTACTTAAAAGAAAAAAAAAAAAAGTTTATTCTTATTCTTCTGCGGGCTTCACGTACAGAGAGCCATGCTTCCAAACAACCTTCCGGTCCATAGCCTGCACAGCATTAAGAGCGCTCCTGCACTCACACACACACAGAAATCTCACACTGCCAGGATCCCAGCTCTCTCCGACAGGCACCTACAAGTAAACTGAGCCCTTCCAGCTGTGACATCACGAGTCACTATAGCAACTCTGACTCCACCCAGCCGGGAGCCGAACTTACCTGTCTGACTATCTAAACTTCACAACAGAAGTCCTCCTTTTTATCCCCACTCGTGCACAGGATAAAACCACCAAATATACACTTACCCCCTCCCCTCCATTTTTTCTCACCAATGAGAATCGGTGATTGATTCGAAGGAGAAAACGATGCATGTGCACAGTGCAAGCCCACTGTATTCAGAAAGCAAACAAACCGGTTGATCAACCTGTGCAAATTCGATACCATCATTCATGACGAGTGATATTAGGCTATATATGCAAATCTACAGAGTTAATAATCAAGGCAGCGGATTGAAACTGCACCTCATGAAAAGGCATCGCTTTGCATGTGGGCTGGCCCGAAAACAGCACACACACACACAAAATTCTTTCTTCTTTCACAATACCTTGTGCCATTTCCTGGAGCTCCCTGTGGCTTTGTGCCAGTCTCACTATTACCTCGATTGTTTTGGCTACAAAGCCAGCTAGCCTCCCCTCCATCTTTTATCTCCTCTGACCCTGAGCAAACAAACCAGATCAGGTGAGCCAAATGTCCACCTAGAGACTCCCTTTGTGCTTACGTCCTTACTGACTTCAGAAAGGTGAAGCACAAGGAGAATTTATAACCTTTAAAAGTTCCCACATAACAGTGGGAAAGGCATATTTCACACAAACGCACATTTTAATACTAACACCTGTTGATTAAATAATTGATACCAAAACAGTAAAGTATGACCCGCTGGTTTGGAGGATCCTTTCCCCCCCCCCTCTAACTCCTTCATAAAAATACAACC